TGATGAGTCTTACTGGCTTCTCAGAAAGTCCTTTCATAGTCCTTCCTCCTTTTATTTATTTACTTGTTTAGCATACTGTCTCATTTTAACAATGATTCTGTTGAGTCTGTTATCTTCTGGTATTTCTGTGCAGTCACCAAAGCAAACAACTCCACTACATAAAAGCTATGTTTAGCAGATTTCCTTTAAAATAACTGCACACTCCACCCTGAAGTGAGAGCACGATGACTGTTCATCGTTCTGTAGGCCACGTTGCTACTAGCAGGTAATTAAATTAATCTTCACTCAGAAGTATGCAGGCAGAAACCACTTTCAGGAAAAAAATCCTTTTGCATTTCTTCTATAATATCATTCTCTCACTTCTGTGGTGACTTCACAAAAAAACAAAAGAGTGAAAAATGTAGACTATCATTTTTTAATGATCCTCCTGGTACGTACTGATACATGCTAGAGATGAACTGGTATGCCTGCTGAACTGCTTCAGCTGCTCCTTGATCATCTTCCCAGGTAACAGTGACAGTGCAAGCACTGGTGGCCTCAAGTTGCACCGAGGAGGTTCAGGTTGGATATTAGGAAAAATTTCTTCTCTGATAGAGTGGTGAGGCACTGGAATGGGCTGCCCAGGGGTCACCATCCCTGAAGGTGTTCAAGACACATGGATGTGGCACTGAGTGCCAGCAGTCCTGGTGCCAGGACAAGGCCCAGTGCCAGCCCTGGGATGGAGCTCACCTGCAGTTCTCCTTCTCTTTGACTTCTCAGGCTACTCTGGAAGGCAAACACTAAACGGTGGCTTCTGGTTGTTTGGTAGTGTTTAATTAGAAAAGTAAATTATGTCTCTCCCAAGGCTTTCCCCCCCCTCCCCTTTTTTTCCCTTTGTCCAATGTAAAGTTTTTTATGAATATATTATATATATTAATATATATGATATTGTCATTTATCTGTAGTTTTTCAAATAGTCGTTGATCTTGAAGTAGTTCTTGTGTCCTAACAATAAACAAGTGACAACTCATCATATCTGTTCTTATTCTGTTTTAAACTTACACGGTCGATCTTGCTTTGTGCATGCATAGCAGAAAGCTGAGGAATGGGAGCAACCAGGACATTTTTTTACGACTCCTGCTTGGGGTGGGTCAGAATTGGAGGTGAAGCCAGTGCCTTATGGGACTTAATGTAACTGTAGGCAGTAGAGATCCTTTGAGTTGGGTTCAGTGCTGTTCACTTCTTAACCACATACGACTGCATATTTAAATGACATATGTTGCTGCCTAACATAGGCACGTGTACATTGTTATCTTTCATAATGTACTAATACATATATTTCTGTTCTGTTTCAGGAAGCTGAAGCACTGGCAAAGCAACAAGCGTGAATTTCAACTGCCTTAATGTTCTGTAAAGGGAATTTCCACAGCTTTTTATAAAATAGTAAAACTGTCTCTGCTTCAAGAAATATAGATGTGATTTCTAACATTTGATTGGTGCTTGCAGCATTCACCATACATAACACAAATTTGAACACAAGATGAAAATGTGAACATAAAGGTAGAAAGCATGGGTGTACTATTACAAAGTTATAAGCATAGGAAACTGAAGCAATTGGATATGAATGGCTTTCACATAGTTTAAATTGTCTTGGCAATCTGTCCATTTTGTGTAAACTTCAAGAAGCTATTTTAATACAGATGTGGTTATACCTAGGAATCCAACTATTTAAAATATAGGGAAAAAAAAGCAACAGTATCTAAAACCTTGTCAGATACTAGCTTTAGCGCCTGAGTTGCCTCAAAAACATTACAGAAATACACAATTTTTCAGTGTCTTTAAATTCTGGTTTCAGATGAAATTGTAGGTGGTGGTGTGTATTCTAACCATTGTAGTCACTGTTGAAAGTTATATGTTCTTTTGTAGGATGGATATTTAAGATTTGTAACACACTGTACAGATGATAAAAAAAAAAATGTCATGTATTTCTCATTTAAGTGATTTGTGAGGGCTCTTCTGACAAAGAAAAAGAGATGTGGGCACTGGACAGCCCTTTCGTTGGCAAGGTCATCACACAGCTGCCTAAGCATGACTTGGTTACACGTTTATGTGCAAGATTCAGTGCACTTCAAAGAAATACATGCTGATTCCCAGGCAATGTTGCAATTAAGCCAAAATGGCCAGAAGTGGCATTTCCTTACCTGTGTAAGGGTGAACGCCTTTAATGTATTTCTCTACAAAAATACCAGTTCACACTGCTTATAGTGTTAGGCATCTTAATGCATGCTCAAGTAGTCATTAGATTCATATAGTATTTTTTCAAATGAGTAAAGTTAAATGTTGGAATAGCAAGAACTATTGCAATTATCCAAGATTTTTTTGAGGTTTAAAAGCTTATTTCCATTGCTATTGCCATATCATCAAGCTATTATAGGAATTATGAACCCATTAAAGTGTCTTGTATTGGTGAATTTACCATGTGCAATATTAACCTGTCTGTTCTCCCAGTGCTCATGAGATAGCCTGAATTTCTTGGCCATGTTCTGCAAAAATGCAGATAATTACAAGTGCCCTGAAGGATAAGAAACAGGTTTAAAAAATGTGTGAGTAATTTAAAATGCATTATGCACCACATAATGGACTTATCCCCTCAAAGCATCAAAATACAAGAAAGGTAATTAGTCCTTGCTGTAGTCAGAGGATCATTTTAATAGCTCTGCGTACACATATTTTGATTTTCTTTGCTTTATGAAGAAACAGGTGGTACAGTTCAGCAAAAGACTGCAGTGTATCATCGCGATGTGGTTATTTCCCATTTATGCTGTGAAATGTATGCAGTGCTTTTCAGAGACTTGACAAAATGGTTTACAGTTCATAGTTTTAAAGTCTCCAATTAGGAACAGGATAGAAGTAAAAACTCTGGCTTACAAAGACGGTTTAAAGTGCAGTAATTAAATACTTCCCTCACTGCTGTCTCTTTGGGGCTTTTGTTCATTCACTGAAACCAATGATTTTGTCAACATCTGTTAAAACAGAAATGCAGCTACTTGCTGTGTTTGGAGAGCAGCTCTGCTTCTGCAGAGTTCGTGTTGAAACTTCTAGAGATGTCAGAGGGAGCAGGATCTACCATGGAGCCAACTTAGGTACAGTTACATTTATTTCGCCTTTCATCTTTTCTGATTTGGGAGCCAGCAAGTTGGCTTACAGCTTGTGCTTAAAAATGCAAGCACACTGTCAAGTTACACACGGATAGATTAATGTTGCCTTACCTTCAGAATTTACACACACATTTGTGCTTTTTTTATTAACAAGCTTTATCAGTAATTACTGAATTTCTGTGAAATTTATTTTTAAGATCTTTTGAGTGTGGAAGTACTGTTCTAAGTTTAGTGTCTTATTTTTGTTCACTGTAATTTCATCTTTCAAAATGGAGGTGGTTTTTCTTTCTTCATATTTGTGTAATCTTTTTCTGTGTCTAAACTGAAGGCCAAGTTTTTGAGAAAGTATTTAAGAATAATAAGTGAAGTCTTGTGAAGAAAGTGGGATTTGACACGCAAGTCAGTATCCTCATTCCGATTTCCTGTGTTTCCTGTGTAAGGAAAGTAAGTTTTGTGAATTACAGTCATTATTTTGAAGAAGCTGTAATTGAAAGTCACCGCCAAATCTGTCAGTTCAGCGACCCACAACGTTCTGAAATGAGGTCAGTCTCTGTTTCTGATGGTCAAGAGAATTACCAGGTTAAGAAAGCGAACTCACTTTCCTCATCTGGTCCCCCATCCTTGCCATATGGTAGCATTCAAACTGTATCAGCATTCCTAAGAAAGCTCTGTTGAGACAGACTGAATTACTTCTTTGTCCGGGGAACAAGGCAGCAACACAAACTGAAAAATACCTAAAATATCTTTGTTGGGGGACTGTGTGTGACAGTGTTGATGCAGACATCTTGTTTGAATTTGGCAGTGCTAGGAACGTGTTGCCTCTATGCTATTTTTCTAGTTCACATACCTGAGTTAACGATGGGCACAAGAACTGAATTTGTTTCTCATTTTCTGTTTTACTATGTAGATGGCAGGCAATGAGGACTTAACCTGTATTACTAACCACTCCTGTATCATTCCAATAAAACTGTTTTAGAATGCTTTCTCACACTATTGACTTTTTTGCATGCTTTATTTATGGTTTGAAGTGGACCTGTAAGGTTAAAGAAGCGGAGTTGTCAAATGGAAATACGAGATTTTGAAGGGCAGCACCTAAACACACACAGTCACATATCCATTGCTGCTGCATGTGAAATCTGCTGGATCTCTCACCTTTTGCAGCTAATGGGTTTTTATTACTTGGGATACACCTACATGAAATGAAATCCTTGGAGGTGCTGGGAGAGCAGGGAACACTCTGTAATTAACTGCGTTCCCACTCATTGCCTAAGGCAGTTCCAAGCTGAAAGCAGGCCGGGCCAACCAGCTGCACCCCGTGCCTGTAAAGCTTGCCCAAAATTCGGAGTTGCTTTTTTGAGGATGTGTAATTAATTAGCTTTGTGCCGATTGCAAGGGGTTCTGAGTGCGTGGTACGACGCTGTGCTGTGCTGCTGAGAAAACCAGTGCGGGTAACACACGGCTCCGCTTCTGTCAGAGAAACAAACCCCGTGCGTGCGTACAATGTTTCCCTAACTTGCTGTTTCACGTTACAAAGCTGTGCACTGCAATCAACTTTCCTACCCATTAACGTGGGATTTTACCCGTATTCTCGATCTGCATCTCACGAGAGATGCTGCGCTCCGATGAAACCATTCGGTGCCATCGGCAGCACGCGCCTGCCTCACTCGCAGCCCCAGTTTCACGCCGAGCTCCCCGTGCGGCGGCGCGCTGCACGCACCGGAATGGCGGCGCCGCCCCGCTCCGCCCCGCGGTCGCCTCGTGCCGTTGCCACGGCGACCAGCCGCCACTCAGCGAGCGTGGCGGCCCCGCCCCGCCGTTCCGATTGGACGTTGCCTTCGTCAACCGGCTCTTCGCCCCGCCTTCCGGCTCTTTCAGGCTGCCAGGGTGGAGGGGAATGGCGGCGGCACGGGTTGAGGGGTGCCGGCGCGGTCGGGTGGTTCTGGTCGTTACAGCTCTCAGTGCCGCGCGTTACAAAGCGGCCCCGGAGCCGCGTGCCCCGGGCTGAGGAGCTTCTGCCCCGAGTTCAGCAGCGCGCCGCAGCAGCGCCCCCTGCCTGCAGCGCCCCCTGCCTGCAGCGCCGCGGCCGCGCTGGGGACAAAGCGGCGCCCCAGGCGTGGCACCGCCGCTCTGCGTCCGGATGGGAGGAGCGGCGCAGCCTGTCAGATCTTAACGCTTCCTAGTAAGAACAAAAAAAGCCCGCTTAGCCGCTTGTTTGCAGCTGTGTGCTGTGACAGGAGATGGAAGACGCGTGTAGCGGGGAGCAGGCAGGCAGGGCGAGCGGCAGCAGGGAGCCGGAGCGGGTGAACGGCGTACAGTTAAACAGATGTGCAGAAAGGAGCTTGGAAACGGGCAGGCAGTGCGGCTGCTGGAACGAGGCACTGCTGGTTGCAAGGGAAATGAACGGATGCAGTGGCTGTGCCTGGAAAAAAATGCATCAACTCCTACTTCATGTTTGTATGCACGGAAAGTGTATGTTTTGACCTGAAATTAGGGACTTCGTTTACGTGCTGCTGTGGTTATTGTTAATGTAGGCAGGTTGCTCTGAAAGCAGTGCCCCCTATTTATCTCCGTGGAAACTACAACAGATACAAAGAGCACAGTAACACTGGTAGAACAAATTCTCGGCTACAAAACGCTGTTTTTCGACACAGTCACCACCATCAGCTGTGCATTTTCACCTGTAATGAACCAGAGCCTGCGTGCCGTGCTCATACAAATGGCACCAGGGGAGGTGAGCCAGTGCTGCTGTCACTGCTGCTGAAATGCAGCACCTGCTGCCTCACTGGGCCACATCCGCTGTTGGTATCCAGAAATGTTCACCGAGTGTCAATGAATGGCAGTGGGTGCCATTTTCTGCATGGGGGAATTAAATTCCAGCCCTTTGCTTCAAATGCACTTCAGTGTCAGATGCCATTCCGTCAGTCTGCCCCTCTGCTGCCATCTGTCACGGGGCAACAGAATCTCATGGGATATTGGAAGGAAGGTTCGGCCTCACTGCCATCCCACCAGCATCTGCCTCTGACGTTGTGGGCCAACATCAAAGCTTAGAAAGCCTTACTTTCAGAGTGGCCCTTGCAATGCTGTAATTGTGTAATCTTATTTTTCCGTGTGTGAATGAAACATCAACATTTCATCTTCCTGTAATCACTGTAGTTCAGATTTAGCCTTGGGATTATGACACACTCATCTTGTTGACTCTGATTCTCCTGACTGCGATCTGCATTCAACTTCCAAAGCAGCTTTCGTTCTGTCTTGTTCTTATTGTGTGTTTGCAAATACAGCTTTTTTGTGATGTAAGGTGATCTGATGGATAAAGATACAGATTTCCAGCCCCAGGGTAGAACTGAAATGAAGGATGACTTATTTTAATCATTTCTGACTAATTTGGCTAGCTTCAGTTCTTTCTCTCCCCTTCTCCCTTACTTTGGTGTTTTGTTGAAGCTGCTTCACAAAGTTGTCAATTTCTTTCCACCAGGAAGAGTTCACAAGGCTATAAATTTAGCTGTTTGTTCCAAAAAAAGAAACGGTATAAATAACTAAACTTACACAGAAGTGGTTCTTGGAATTCAGTTTCAGTTTTGAACAGCCTGATGACACACAGACTGACCTTTTAGTAATCCTTGTTGATTGTAAGCGGCGCATTTTGGTACTTGCTATCCGGTCAGCATTGCACCTCAGTCAGAAACATCTCAGTTCGTGTTTATAACATCCTCTTTCAGACTTGCTGCCATTCTTTACTCAAAGACTGCACACTTTTTCCAGTGGGATCGCTTCTGTTTTAAAGGAAAACAAAATGGGGAACTGAATCACACGCACTCCAGTTATTGCTCACACAGCAGTGAAGAAAAAGTATGGGAGACTGTTCCCTTAGAGCAGCTGTAGTCGGAGACTTACTGGCCATGTAACAATTCAGCTTTCTAACTGCTGGAATTGGTAAGTCTGAGCTTGTTGTACTTCTATACTTTTATTCACCCCCTCTCCCCCACTATGGTTTGTTCCAGAATGCAGGCACTATTTATTTAAAAGAGAATGTAGTTTTTCTTTTTACAATGACCACGTTTGAGCTTTTATATTAGCACTGTAAGCATTTTCAAAGCAATACAGCAACATTTGTAATCGTTGATGTTCAACAAGCTTTAGATTGCTGAGTGCCTTTGTCTTTTGAAAACAATACTTAGTTTCATAAGTCCCATAAGAGCTTAAGAAAATGTTGTCTTGTTTTTTTTTGCATATGTGAATGATTCTGGAGAGAAACTAAACAGTTCTGCTTATGTAACCAGGAGAAGGCAGGGTGTACTGTCTGTCTTTGCTTTGGTCTCACTTGGAACCATTTCACAATTGCAGCACTAAGTTCAACTTTTGGTAGGGATCAATGAAATTTAAGCTAAAAAAACCCCACACAACACACTAGGGATGTGTGAAGGTGCTTTAAATATGCAGAAATTAAAAAGACATTTGAAGCACAGAGGAATTTTATTGCGTTTCCCATTCTTCTATAACAAAGTGGTTGCCATCTTTCCCTCAATGAACTTAGGTCAGCTTTAAAGGCAGTTTGCTATTGATTTTAACAGTAGGTGAATTGAAAAGCAACGATAAATAATCATAAAATGTATTAGATTTTTTTCTGAAACCTGTCAGCTAACTTGATTATTTCTGTGCATTTTGTAAATCTGTAAATTCAGAATCAACCTTTAAGTCTGACTTGGATTTTTATTTCTTTCCAGTGTCAGCTCTTGAGCTCATAGAAATTGTCTTCCAATGGAAAAAGTTGTTTTGTAACTGATGATAATGATGTAGCCATCAAGTGAAATTGCTTTGCTGGCCTTTATGTGAATCCTTACCCACTAACAACTCGTGAGTATCATCTCTCTCAGCTAGCCACAATGCAGAAGAGATACCTGGGTACAGAAGTGTGTTACTAGAGGTGAACAACCTAGCGAATGCCCTTCCTGTATCTCCCCACCTGAGTATGGATTAGATCCTTAGAAAAACAGTTTGCTTTTTATTAAAATAAATATTCTAGAGAAGAAGCAAAATCACAGTCTGTCTTTATGAAATATACATTCTTCATTTTATACTGTAATTAATATTTTTCAAATGAGCTTAAAGTATTTTTCTCATCTTTCTTTCACTCATAGAACTACATGGAATTCTGGTGATTAGACTGTTACTCACACTTGTCATCATGTTGGCAGAAGGCATCTTAACTAGGCTCATATATAAAGATATCTGTCATCAAGATAAGCCTCACAAATCTCATGCAGCCAAAAAGGATAAAGAAGGAATCTGGAGAGAGAAACTTGTAGACAACCCAAAAATTAAAGGATGTGATGACGGACTTGAGAATCCGGACAAGATCTCTGCTGAAAGTAACCAAATGGAAAACAAGAATGGTCTTCAACAGAGAGCCACAACACAGTTACCTGCAAAGAATCAAACTGCAGCGGTTAGGAGAACCGTATCACGAGCTTTGCGTGTCCCCGAAAGAGAACAAAGTGATGAACAGACGGATTTGTGTCGATCCTGGTCTTGCAACAGCATTTATCAAAACTACCCTGACTTACATATTGGGGGAGACCACGTGGGAGACCACACATGTGATTCAGGTTGTGTTTTGGACCATGTGTGTGATGAACTTTCTGACGGCCCCGTTATACTGTCTGTAGATATTCCTCTTGGTCAGTCCCCCCTGTGTGAGCATCCTGAAAAGCCAGGAGTAAATTTCCTGTCCGGAGATGAAGCTGGAGAAAGGAGCATGATGTTCTGTGAGGAGCCTCTTTCAAACTCTCTGCTCAACAACTATATGGAAGCAAAGGTGGCAGAGCTCTATAAGCAGCTTTTTGAAGAAATCTTGACCAGGTGTGGTTCTGTAAGAAACCTCCTCACTTGCAGTTTAAGAAGTAATGTGGATCAGATAAGCTTTCAGATATCACAGGAGCAGAATATAGAAACATCAAAAGCCAGAGAAGTGCTCTTACAGTCTTTAGCTTTGTTCAGTTTGCACAACGCTACCAACAGAAGTAGCTCTGAGTTTAGTACTCCAAACTTGCAAATATCAAACCCAGCAGGTGTGAAAAAATGCTGCAGGACGTGGTTTGCGTCGTGTCTGAACTGCTCAGCTGAAGAGATGAATACAGGTCGTATACCAGTGTTTCATTCTAAGGATTAGATTGGAAAATGAAAGCATGTAGACCCCACAGACTTTTTCAACTGTTTTCATGCTTAAGCCATACTTTGTCTGTGATGATCATTAGCAGAGTAAGTAAAGGTCACTGTTCTCTTTTTTTTCTCATGCAGAATTTGAAACGCATTCATCTCTAAAATTCTATTTGATTTCCCTGTAAAAATGTGTATGACCTCCTTGTAAGACTGTGTCTGAGTAATGTACTCATGTTTCATTGGATTTACTCCTGCAAGAGTAATCAATCAAGGCAGAAGTGCTGCTAAAACTTTTGTCTAAGAGACTGATCCACCCACCTGTATGTAAGAGTCCTTGCTGGACTTTGGATTGTGCTGCAGAGCTGAAGCTCAAGTTTTGGATATTCAAGTACAAATTTTGTTCTGCAAAGTTTGATCACTCACAGTGGCTGGGAAAAGATTTTTTTGGTTTGAAAATCTTTCAGCAGATGGAGATGCTCAGGACTGAATTATATTGTGTCTGGAATCATACACAGGAAATGTATCAACATGAAATATCAATCAAGACTCTCGTTGCATATGTATGTTTATACTGCATAGATAAAGTATGTCACAATGAAAATCTAGGTGAGATAGCTGATCAAGAATTTAAAAATATTTTCTATAAAAATGTTTTTCTTTTAAATGAATTTTACTTCTCTGATTTCATCCTCTCAGCTTTCCTTCAGCGTATTATATATTCAGTTTGTATTTTTGGTAAGTGGATTCTGTATTTCTTTGAAAATGAAGCTCGTGCAACCTCAGCAAGCTAACACTGCTGCAACATTCCTGGAAAGCTTCCTTCATCTTCATTTGGAAATTTAAATGTACTTTTTGATATGAAAATGTCATTACTTAGCATTCAAACCTATTTTCTTCTTTTGTTTTGTTTTGTTTCTTCATGGCAGGCATTTCAACTGGAAATTAATCACTGTGTCACCATTATAAAATAGTACATTAATTAGACTAATAATTTGTCTGCAGAAATTTTCTTCTAGTAAGGAAAGCTCTTCACATGCACTATGATTTGACACACCTACAGTTCTGGATTTGCAATCATGAAATCCAATTCCAAAATATACCAACGAACTTCTAGAACTACAAGCTTCCAAAACATGTGCTGATGTATTGTTAAGTCACTTCATCCAGGTCATGGTGGCACTCAGTGTATCAGTGTGGGATGAGTTACACAGCAGAGCTTCTCAGCGAACTTGCCATCAAACAGCTGACGTAAACCAAAACAATTGTTGTTTTTGAGACATCTCTTAAACTCTGATGCAAAATATGCATTTTTTAAATCTCTGTCAACCCTTCAGGAGAATATGAAAGATCTTGTGATCTCTAGGTAATAATACATCAAATGCAAACACATTTGTGTTTGTAAATCAAGGCCCTTGACATCTGATCTTTCCTTTGAAGAGATCAAAGTTGGTGTGTTTTTTTTTTATTTTTATTTTTTAATCCAGCATCTTCAGTTCTTGGTCTTTTTTAAAATTGAGTGCTGGATTTTATAATGAAAATACCACTGAGCATGAAAGTATACCCCAGAACACTGAGAAGATCTGAGTTTGCAAGGGATTAACCTTGGAGCTCTTGAATTCAAGTAATTTAGCTTCATTAGTTGCTTTTTTTTTTTTTTTTTTTTTTTTTTAATAGAAACTGTGTGTTAGGGCTTAGAGTTAAAACTGTACCTGTTTTGGCCTATACAGAGAAAGAAATTTGAAGGAGACCCAAGCAAGCACTCTTCTCTCCAGATGAAAATGACAAGTAAAGACAATCTCTACAGAGCATGTTGCAAGTAATTAAATACAATTAAACTCATACATGAGAAGACCTGAAGTGAATTTCCCTTGCCTGATCAAAAACTCCCATTGACGTTGGTAGTGTGAGAAGTATAAGTCACAGTGAAGCTGGTTCCTGTTTTCTAACAGGATGATACAGAAGTCACTTGGCTTTTAGCATGCCTTGCCCTGATCCTGCACGTCTCATTAATCCCTTTGCAGCACTCACAAGCAAGTCAGAAGTCCAGTGGAAGAGGCCAAAGGACTTCATTAAATTCTGGAGGAGCCCAGAATGGGCAGCACTGAAGAGTTCCTTGGTAGAGGTGCAGAGAAAAAGTTAACTGAAGGTGAGGTGAAAAATTTTCAGATGGGTTTGCAATTAACTGTGAAAAAAAAGTGCTCTATGGCATTTGTGCTGCCCTGGCCTCATCTTTAGTTCTCCCTGGAACGTACTTATAGTTCAGTCCAACCTCCTGAAAGAAGTTAATTGCACAAGGTTCTTCCTTGGGATGTGTAGAAGTCAGAGTTCAAAGCTGAGGTCCAGGTCCTGGTGTTCTCTGTCCTTCCTCCCAGCCCTGGGTAATGGGTTAGAGGAAAGCTGTGCTTCTCTCCTGCCAGCCTCAGGATGGGGACCCTGCATCTTCAGCTCCAACACCAACAGCAGCACAGCAGGAGATGCAGTGTTGTGAGCTGCTGCATCGGGACAGGCCTTGCTGGGCCCGCTCCTCTTGTCAGCGGAGTGGTGGAAGGGAATATGGAAATGGGTGTTCTGCAGTTGGCCAAATCCAGCCTTACCACGAAGCTCCATCGATCCCAAACCATTTCAGGGCTCTTTTTTGAGTCACTTTTCTGTGTGGACAATTTTAGCTGTAAAATTTACAGTAATGTAATTTACAATAATGTAAATGTTAGAATGAAAACACAAGGCAGCAAGCCATGTTGTGAGAAAAGCTTGTTATCTGTAGCTTTTATTAGAGTCTTTATTATAAGCTGATGGAGGCAAAGAGTGTGTCAGATAATTGTGGCAGCAGCTATACTGAAACCAGCCCTGCTGTTGGTGCAGATGAAGCTGCTGTAAGGGAAATACATGACATTTTGCAGACATGCTTTTGAGTTTTGTTTTTCAAACAGAAGAAATATAAGATGATTTGTTTTTTAGAATTTAAATAAACACAGAAGGTAGAGGATGGAAAAGCAAAACGTGTTTTCAGCTAATTTATGTAGCTACTCCTGTAGGAAACCTGCAGGTAAATTTGCATTGTTAATATACATTACCATGGAGTAGGTTTTGTTATTGATGTTATACAATTCTGCCCATGGAAAAGTATTGTCTGTGTAGTTTTCCTGATATTTCTTACTCAGATTTAATAAAAAATGGAAATAATGTCTTTGAATTGTGACTTACTTAAGAAGACTTACTTAAGAAGAGATCCCTGTGCTGTTGCTGCAGGATACATTTTAGGAAAAAAATCGTATAATTTCTATAAAAGACGAGACAAATACAAACTTACAGTTCACTTAGATACCATCCTTAGTTCCATTTTATTTTAAGTGATATATTTTAATTCATGGCATGCTTCAATTTATTTATTTATTTATTTATTTAATAAAGATGTTGAATCACATTGTAGATTTAAATGAGTAAATCTCCATCAGCTGTGCTGGAGCTCTGCCTGTTTTCACTAACAGGAAAAATGGCTCCATGAACTCCAATTACACAGGAAAATCACTTACAAGGTGTGCTTTTCCAGACTGCTGGAGGACAGCAGATGGATTTCATTACCAATGAAAGCAGTGCCTTATTTTACAGGTCACACACATGGGGCCAAGTTCTGACTGGCAGCTCTGTTTACGTGTGCGCCAGAAAATCTGAACTGGAAGGAGAAATTGTGGCAGGGAATTTGCAGCTTTCGTTTCCAGTTCTCATTCAGCATTCCCACAGAGAAGTGTTCATTGAGTGCTACGACCCTGAAGGTCTGCTTTTTTATTTTGCACGTTGCTCCTGTTCTACCTACAAGCTTCTAAAATGTAGGTATTTGATATAATTCAATTTTTTTTTTTTTTTTCTTAATCAGAAGAACTCACTGCTGAATTCCTGCCATATCTCCATGGGGTTAATTTATTTGTGACAAGCACAGCCCCCTGTGGGTACCACTCTGAATGCTGCTGCCCTGGTGTGTGCTGCCTGCAGGCCTTGTGGGGTTGTTAGAGCATTTGGTATTGCTCTTTGGATCCCAGGAGCTCAGGGGCCCTCCTTCCCAATGCCTCCCACTGGCACGCTGTGCCACATATGGGCTGTAGGTATGTTGCCCTTCTTGTACAAAACTCTGCCCTCTTTTGTCAACCATGTCTATCAGGACAGTATTTTATTTTCCTTCTGCTGGTCACACGATGCTCCAAGCACCAGCTTTGCTGTGAATGTGAGTCTTTTTCCACTGAAGTTCTTTGCTTTGCATTAACCACAGTGGCTGGAATTCCCTCCCCAGGCCTTTGTATCAGGCTTTTCTGCAACAACTCAGGTTCTGCTGTATCCAGGTGTAGGAAACCCTGTAAGGAGGGCTCTGCAAGTCTGAAGATACAATATAGAGCTGAGTTTTCTTTCGCATAAATAATAACACCTTAAGTTATGGGAAATGGCTGCTTTACAAAAGCAAGATAAAGCTGGTTGTTCTCAGAGTGCTGAGGGCAGTTGTGGTCTCAGAAGGCTGTTGGCTCTGTGGCAGGGTTGGTTGGGTTATACATGCAAATACACTTTGTATCAGAGGATTTACAAGTAAACAGCTCCATACTTCTAAATACGCCATGGAATGCTGGTGACGTGTAAGTTCTGACTTAGGTTTTAGGGATCCTCAGAAAGATTCTTGTTTTGTGCAATAATATGACTCCTTGACACACTGTGCTGGTGGGTTTTTTGTTCTTATTTCCCATCTGTGCTGACAACATACTTCTGCTTTCCATTGCTGAATTTCTACTGCATGCTGTGCTGCTGACCAGCCTTCTTCAGTGCTCTTTCCATTGCTCAAACCTATAAAACTGCTGTTTCTGTAGTTACGTACTACTTTGGGATGTGATGAAAGCTAACGAAGTCCTGAGCAGGCTGAGGGTATCTGATGGAAGCTTTGATCTCATTTTGTGTTCCAGGTCGTTCAGCTCTGTCAGACTGTCCCTGTGGGTGAGCACAGTGTGCCACACTGCCCAGTGGGTGACTGATGAAGGTACTAAGATACCACTTCATAAGTAATATAAATACTGGATTTCTTTTTTCTTTTTAAACAGTTCCTTCTTGAACTTGCATGCATAAAGCTCTAGGAGGATAGCCAGTTACTGCTTGCCTGATGAGCAGTAAGGAGCAAGGCTGCTGAGATTTGGGCTGGGTTTTTTTCTGAGGCTTTTGGGGAAGTGCTTTCGTTTCACTGTGTGCTTCCCTCACTGTCACTCAGTGCTGCAGTTGTTCATTGATCCTGACACAGCTTTTCCTTGTCCAAAGACCCCGAATTCTGTTTCATGTTGGAAGAGTGAGAAATCACAGTTGCCTGCTCGCAGTTTTTCACGTATATGAGATCAGTATTACTGTTCTGTTTCAAATGAAGGAAATTTGTGACTTGGGAACATAACTGCAAACTGACTTCCAAACAAGTCCTGGCTTCATGTCTTAAATAAACAGTTGCTTTTATTCTCCTTTCCTTTTACTTGAATTAAAGAAAAATAACTTCACAGCTCTCACTCTCTTTTCCAAGAAATGTTGCATATGCAAACGTTGTGCAAGAGAGGCTGAGGGAAGATGTGTCTGAATATCTGCACTGGTGGTGTGCTCAGAAAGGAACTGACACAGTTTCCCTTTTCTAACCATTCACCACTCGGCTATTGAGCATGAAATGTGGAGCACCAGTTGCAGCAACACAGCTGCACTAACCCAGCTCTCAGAACGACTCGCTGAATGTTTCTGGGTAACAAATACACCCCAGGAGGTAGCTATCTGCTTATGTTTATTCCCCAGGAAGAAACCCCAGGCTGCATTCAGCCACTGCAGGACCTTAGAAGTGTGTGTCCCCAGCAGCATGGCTGGCAGCGAGCCCACCCATGGGCGCTTCAGCCTACCAGGCTGAAGTCTCAGGGTTAATAGATGGTAAATAGATGAATTTCTGGAGACACAGTGTGCTCCACACCTCCAAAGTGAAGAATTTCTATACTACTGTATAGTCTTGGAGCTACCATGTGTTCTTGGATCTACTAATTTACAATGCCGAGCTTTAGTGCAAGTGATGCTGCATCTTGTCTGCTCCGATTGCTTCGTGTTCCTCTTTGGCTCTTGTTTTATTTTGTGATTGCAGAACTGTGATGGTGGTGAACCATGACAGCAGTTATTTTCAGCATTTGGTTTATCTGGACTAGTGTATTTTCCTGGTGGGTGATCCGTGGTTTGGTCAGGGAACAGACAGAGCTGAGTAAAGGGGCAGAACCCAGTGGGCTGGGAGGCTTTCTTCCATTTCCCACACAGCTGTGTCTGCCACCCGACCCCGCAAAAAGGCTGAAATGGTGGCGGAACAACACTAACAGTAAAGATACAGGCTTTCCCAGGTAGAATGATGGAGAAAAATACTGAAGGCCATTTAGCTTACTAGTCGTTTAAGCAGTTGCTCAGAGCGCTCGAGCTCTTACTGACAAAAGCGGTATCCAAACAGAAGCTGGTGCCAAAATGATTAAACTGCACTCCTCCTGTAGTTGCCCTGTAGGAATTCATTAATTGGGAAGTTGTTAAACTCGAGGTTGTGTTGCAGTGAGTGCATAGCAGTGTTGCTCGGAGGGCTGTGTGACAGGTCAGGGTGTTTGCAGTACGGCAGATTCACCAACTTGATGGTAGGTGGATGTTCTTCCCTGTGGGCTGCAAATCAATCTGTGGTGTCCCTGCCCGTAGCAGGAGGTTGGAACTAGATGATCTTAAAGGTCCCTCCCAGCCCAAACCATTCCAGTGAGCCTGTGTATTCGCCCAGCTCCCTGCAGCACAGAGTTGTTTCTCAGCACACTGATGCTCTGTGATAGGCTGCAGCAAAAACCAACGTGGTATGAATTAAATGTTAAGGGGTTTTGTATTTCTGCTTTCCAGAAAAGCTGGGAGTGTGATCCATCCCAGCAGTCAGTGTGATGAGGGTTTGGTCTTAATTTTGGTTTTGACTAAATCTTGCTAAACTCTGTGTCTGCTTGGTGAGCTTTCTGTGTTTGCTTGTAGGCTTGCATATGGATGGAAATATGTACTTTTCCAGCCCTGGTTCTTCAAGAAGATCAGTAGCTTATGCACAGCCTTCAGTAAACATTGAAATGTAACAAAACTGTAGGCAATGAGAAGTGCAAAAAAAGAAGGTGACTACTTGTGAAATCGTGGGCAGGTTCCATCCTAATCAGGAAAAAGATTTCACTCATTCATAAACTGGAATGACTGTCTTCAAATTTTAGACTGTGTGTAAACAAATGGCTGTTATTCTGCCATCAGCTGGAACAGGGGTGTTCACAACAGCAGCACATAGCTCAAAAGACAGAAGAGAGGTAAGGGCTGAAGAAGCGAAGCACCAAAGCCTCACAGCTTACAGCAGAGCCTTGCTCTGAGGTGTCCTGGGGTGAACTGTTTGCTAGAGGGACTACAAACAAGTAATAACCCCAAGCTTTTGAAAGAAGAAATATATCTATGCAGATCAGCTGCCTTGTGCTGAGGGCTGGCAATCACGGGCTCACAGCAGTGGGAACTGCAGTGTTGGGCTGAACCCATCCGGTGGGTTTGCAGCTTGGCAAATTACTTACTGCTGTAATATGAGATTCTCTGTGCTTGGTGTATATGGGGGGCTCAATCCAACGTGGGATTTTCCCGTATTATCAGCTACAAGCTCTGAAATGTTGAGTACATATAGTTAAGATTTACATAAATACTTTACTGAAATATCTCCTCATTTGAGGCCCACATGGTACCTCAGCTGAAACGTACATCACAAATTAGTTCTCTTCTCCTCCATTCCTCAAAGGCACAAGGATATTCCAAGTTTACTTATAAATTTCAGTAGTAGATACATGAATTTTAGGAGGTGATGGAAATTGAGATTTGGTTTAGTGTATTTATTTTCTCATTAAGTGATGCATGCATCAGTAGTTTTTTTTTTTTTAAAAAAAAAGGCATAAGTTAAATTAGAAAAAATAACAAGACAGAAAGATAAAAAAAATCACATATTTCACTTTTAAAGTAAGGAAAAGAAAAATATTTTGTTGCCACTGGTTAAGGAATATAATAGTAACGTTCTAACAAAACACTTTTGTTCTGGGGTCCTGAGTTCTCATCACTGTTACTGTATTACACAATTTCTTCTCATAACCCTATCTCTTTCATCAGGGACCAGTCAATAAAATTATAGGGATCAAAATCTAGCCCTGAAACCTAGAAATGGGGAAGGCACATTATGCTATAAACAAAAAACACCCCAAACCCCATGTCAGTAAACATATGATCAGATGGTATTCACATTAAAAAGTGGTTCAATAATATCAATAGCCATTACAAGAGGGACAACAAGTATTGTGTCATCGTAGCACTCGGGAAAAACATTTTGCCATTTAGTTATGAACAAACCAGAAACAGCACGTAATGAAACATGAAACGTAAAGTTAAGGGAAATAACAAGATTATTTAATTGGAACTTAAGAGTGAAACAACTGAAAATGTAAAAATGAAGGAAAGTCCTTCCTTAAAAGTAATGAGGGATCTGATTCCTCATTCCTTTTCCCATCCCTGCCTCAGTGGAATGGAATGATTGAGAGCAGAGGGAGAGAATCTTGTGGGAATTCTGTACTCCAAGTGTCTGCCCTGCAGTTCTGCTAGCTTCTTGAATCTGGTGCCACTTTCCTTTGTATATTTAAAAAACTTGGTTTACTAAGATGGCTCTAATGGGAGATTTGTTTTTTTTTTTTTTGCTTAAAAGTCAGAAAGTGTGCTAACGATGTGATTAATACACATTAACAGTGGTGACTTAGAAAAGTTAATGTTAGAGAGCTTCACTGCATCTCCCTCATACCCCAAAGTTTATCTTTCTCCCTACAGGTCAGATCAGAAGCAGCACATGGGATGCTGAGAGCTGTGGGTGTGTGTCTGTATGATGGGTTCTGGCCTCCTACAGAAAAGTGGGTCACCAGCATCTTGCTGGCAGCTCAATTTTGGTGTCATTTAGGCAGCTGCAGAGAAGCAAAGAGACCATCGATCAGTCTAGTAACAGCCTGGGGCCTCTGTTTTAATTACATATGTGCTTTGGACTCGATTCATCCCTGTTGAAGCATTATTAACTTAAATGAAACTCCACAATGGAGGAATTTGACCCAATATGTTGGTGGGGTTTTTTTTGTTTGTTTGTTTGTTTTTCCACTCTTTGATATTCCTACATCTAATTCTTTTGAAAAGTCTTTCCCCAAACTGGCATTTGGCTTTATGTGAGCAGCTGATGCTTCGGAGTTGTTGAGAACCACTAAGACCAGAACTCTGTGTGTCCCTCAGTGTGGCCCAAAGCCATTCCAGCACAGAGAGGTCAGATGGGTTTTGTTGCCTGTCTGTGTGTCCAGCTTTTCTAACCTTTCTAACTTTACTCAATTTTCAGTGCCGTTTTCAAGCAGCAAAGAGAAATAAAGATAACTTCTCCTCTTGGCTCTTGCTGTAGGAAGAAGCTTGAAGAAATTGGTTAATTTTATTCTTTTTCAGGTGTCCTCCATCCACCCAGCACAGCTCTGTATTCAGCACAAGAAAGATGACTGCTTTGAATAACTAATTGGAATTGGTGATTATCAGCAGCATTGCTGCCAGTGTTGGGCTACAGACGAGGAGTCTGGTGAAACGCAGCAAGGTGGGCCCACTTCTGGCTGCTGCTGTGCCATGTAGAAGCTGCAGAGGCCTGCAGCTGGTGCCCGAGGCAGCTGAAGGGTCGGCCCATTTGGGCACGTGGCCCTGAAGAGCACGGATCTCCAGCAGGTCTCCCATCCGGGAGCTGATGGGCAGGGAGGAGAGCAGGCTGAGGGCTGAGCTCTGTGGCGAGAACAGGAGCAGCCGCGACCAAATACATGCAGTGGACAGCCCTGGGGCTGATGGAGAGGCAGAGGGCAGGGAGCAAGGGTACAGCCACTGTCCTGGCTGCCCTGCTCTCCTCCTTCCTGCAAGCTGCCGGGGTGGGAGCCCTGCACAGTTCTCTGGTGGCAGAGAATGGCAGCTGGGCTGCTGAGGAAGCACAGGGCAATGCGTCTATGGAGCACACGTTTTTCTCTCTGGATTATCAGCATGTCCAAGTCCCCTTCGAAATCACGCTCTGGATCATGCTTGCATCCTTGGCCAAAATAGGTGAGGTACCTTGGGAAGGTGAGGAGGGATGGGGTGGGCAGGGAGGGGCTGTTCTTTCCTAAGATAGCCTTTATGAGTAGGATCAGGAGGAAACAGGACAGGTTGAGGTTTGTCTTTGGAGTTCAGAGCTGTTTGGGGTGAAACAGGCGATGCTGCGGCTGGAGGTAACGTGGCACATTGTATGTCAGATGTGTGTGTTACATGGCAGATGTACTTCCTGCTGAATCCTCAGCTCTGCAAATGTACCTGTGTGTAATGCTAATCAGACCTGCAAGTGGCTGCTGTGCCCTTCATGGAGCATATTCAGCTGCTGTGAAATTCCTGTGAGCCAGATAAAGCCAAAGGAAATGTGTAAGGCAAGCAGATGTGTATTCATCTGCAGGACTGGATAGAAGAGAGTGGAATTTATATATTCTTTATTTGTCCCCCACACAGGAATTGTAATCGCTTCTGTGAAATTCCTGCCGTAAAGGTTATTTTACCACCTTTTTCTTCAGAAAGGAAAAGATTCATTTTGATCAGAATTTAATTTCTTTCAGATAGAAATGGCCTTTTCTTTTTGCTTTTCTGCATCTTATGGAATGAGGTCTCAACTCCATCATTAAATATGAAGAAATAATAATCATCATTTTTTTTTTAATGTTGTTATTCCTGTTCCAGTTTAATTTGTTTCAATTTCCTTCTTCCTTTTAATAACCCACATCTAGTACTTACAGTGCGTGCCAGGACTTCTCTCTAGCAGACACTGGGTGTTGCACAAGGCTGGTCTGATTGATTCCTTGATCTTTTTTTCCATGTTACCTTTAATTTTGTGTTGCTAATTACAAGGGGTGACAGTTTCCATACTATTTAATAAATGAGATTCTTTTTTTTCTTTTTGTATGTATGGAATCTGTATTGTGTTTAAAATTAGCAGTTGCTGTTTATGCTCTTAGTGCTAAAGTTGGCAGGCTAATTGGATTACATTATCCCAGAAGCATTTTTACTTACACAGATGATTTAGTTTATTTTCTCCTTGTATATTAGCATGACATTAAAGGTGTATTTTTAGGTATAAGGAATTGCAGACTGAACGTTTGATATCTTTTAGATTTCTTAGCTAGTTTCTGATTGGGCAGCTTTACCTTAATAACATAATTTATTATCATTGTTTATTTGCTTTGATTTATTATCAGTACTCCGAAGTGAAGGTAGGAAGGTAGGAGCTGGTGAAGCTTCCTCACCGCAAGGGGTGCCTGGTTTTCCTTGGCCAGTTTGGTCAGTAACAGAGATTTTTTCTGTTCATCCCCCTCCAGCATTTCACCTATACAATAAGCTGCCTTCTGTGGTCCCAGAAAGCTGTTTATTGATATTTGTGGGACTCATCATGGGGGGCATCATCTACGGCCTGAACGACAAGTCACCTCCTGTCATGGACAGCGATATCTTCTTCCTCTACCTGCTGCCACCCATCGTCCTCGACGCAGGGTACTTCATGCCCAGCCGCCCTTTTTTTGAGAACATCGGCACCATCCTCCTCTACGCGGTGGTGGGGACAATATGGAACGTGTTTGGGATCGGCTTTTCGCTCTATGGCATCTGCCAAGTGAGAGCTTTTGGGCTGCGGGACGTGTCGCTGCTCCACAACCTGCTTTTCGGCAGCCTGATTGCAGCAGTTGACCCCGTGGCCGTGCTGGCAGTGTTTGAGGAGATCCACGTCAACGAGAAGCTGCACATCCTGGTCTTTGGCGAGTCGCTCCTGAATGATGCGGTGACCGTGGTGAGGAGCAGGCTCTGCGAGAGCACCCGGTGTCCAGAGGAAGGGCGGCGATGTCTGGTGACGATTTTGTTAATGGTTGTTTTCCCCTTTTTCACCCAGGTGCTCTACAAGCTGTTTCGATCATTCTGTGAAATGCCAGCCATCAAAACGGTGGATGTGTTCGCCGGAGTTGGAAAATTCTTTGTGGTTGGGATTGGGGGAGTGTTGGTAGGTCTTACCTTTGGGATGACCTCTGCCTTTACCACGCGATTCACCAAGGACATCCGTGTCATCGAGCCGCTCTTTGTCTTCCTGTACAGTTACCTTTCCTACCTCACCGCAGAGATGTTTCACCTCTCTGGCATTGTGGCGTAAGTGTGCCCCAGCGGCTCGTTTCTCTAAGAAGGATTTTTGGTTGTATTTGCTAACAGGTATCAAAAAATTGTTTTAAAGTTAGCTGCAAATCTGTCTGTGGCAGCGAATAGAAAGGATGAAAATCTATGAAGTAGCTGAGAGGTGTAACCCCATTGCACACATTACACTACTGCACATAAACAGTACGATCTGCAGCTCACAAGCAATCCAGATCACTATGCCAGGCAAATTTCAAATGTCCGGTTCATTTAAGTAGGCTATTGAGGAATGGTTACTTGAGCCCCATAGGGGTTAGGCCCAGCCAAAACCAACATCTGAAAAACAGCAAGGATTCTTTAATCAAATCCTCATGACCTTAGAAAAATGTGGTCATTAGGTTTACAGCATGTCTGTTCTAGCTTCATCCCTGATCGTGCCTTACCAGATGGCATCTGGGGCTTGGTATCCAGAGGTGTGCTGAAAGCAGAGCTGGTAGTGGCACAGCAAAGTGATAGGTGGTGGTAGCTATTTATCCCTTATAGAGCTGAAGCCTGGAAATATGCCTTCTGTGTGAGAGAAGAGGGCTCTAATGGGAACTTCTGCCTGGATATTTGACTTGGAGGTTCTGACTGACCTCCAAAAGATTTCAGCCAAAGCTCATGTGCTTGTCTTGCATTTCTGTACTTGGTGTGGGTGGGCCCATCCATCACCTCCCTGCCTCTAATGGCATTGGAAATCTTCTGACCAAATTCAGCCAAGTTTGTCAGAGAGCAAGGTTTCAAAAGTACTAAAGCCAAACTGTTTGCAATTTCATAGAGCACAGTTAGTTCCATACATTGATGATTGACTTTGTGCTTACCTCACTGTGAATTTCACCTGAGGAGCTGATGCTGAGAAAAATAAATAAATCTAATAATCCTGGTGGTAGCAGAAGCCTTGCCTTGGAAAGCAGAGTCAGTTTAAAAACAAAGCATGGGCGATTCAGTCTTTCTGATTTCTGTGGGCTGATATTTGTTGCTACAACTTGAAATAAGTCAGCTGCTGCTGAGGATCACAACTGACCATTTAATATTTCCCTAAAGACTATAAACTGTACTAAGGCTCCATTGATAGCTACAGTGTAAACAACTGTAAATCTGATAATGAGATAAAAAGAAAATAAAAAATTTAAGTTGGGTACCAGCTAGACACAGGAGTGCCTGGGAGATTGATTTGAAAACTAATGGTACTTTTTTGGCAATAAACTATTCCTGTATCTTGCAGATTTTGTTCTTTGAACAGTTAATACAAGCAATATTCTGGCATTACTGACAAAAATTCTAGCTCTGGGAATAGGTAAGAGAAAATCTATTTCTAGGAGCAAAAGACAGAACAGTGAAATAAATGTGCTGCATAATCATTATGGAGCAGAAAACATTCAATCCTAATGGTGTCTCTTTCTATCAATCAAAATCTACTGTACCCATTATGGAACCCATTTTCTATTCTTTTGAATAATGTATTGTTTCTAAAGCAAAACAATTGCAAAGGCAGCTGATTCCTGCAATACCAGTCTTACAATTGCCAAATTATAAATGCCTCTTCTATATATCTTGATTTCAAGCTATTCATTGGTGATCAGGGAATACTGTATTATGAGAAACAGACCTTGGCAATTGTTTCTTTGAAAAATAATCTGATTGCAAAAATAAATAAATACATTCTACATAGTCCAAAAACCTTTTGAGTGCAACTTGATCTGCTAAACTTTTCTGCTAATGTTTTTTAACTACATATACATACATTCATATACGTTTATATATACAGAGATATATACACACAGATACTTTTTTCTCCTTGTCCCACTGGCAGCACCCATCTTTGAAGCTGTGAGGGGAAAAAAAGGTCAAATTTATTCTTTGTGAATGATCTGAACCCATCTCCTTTTTTTCCAAGAAGGATTTCCAAACCATGGCTCTGGAAGTTGGTTGCCCATATATCCCTGTTTGGTTTCTTAGTTGGAATTGTTTTATTCCCTCTTTATTGAGGCAGATACAGCAACTGAAAAATGACTTTGTTTTGCTGCACTTTAAGGCAAAGTAGATCAGTCTGACAGGGATAAATCAAAAAGTTCAATTTTGGAATATTTTTAAATAGTGATACATTTTTCTTATTAAATGAAAGATATAAACTTGGGTACTGGATGAAAAAGGGATTTTTGAATGTTGAGTCAGGTAAAACAGGCTCTCCTTTCCCAGTGAGAACATGGAAGCATTTCTGTGTCTGACCTTCCATGTCCTGCACCTTTTCTCCTGGTCCTTCCCTTAACTCCAGTTTTGATTTCTGATTGGCAGTGAGGGAAAACGAATAATTATTTTAAGATGAAAGAAAAGCAAATATCTGTATTTGCTGTTGTCATTCGTTTGAATGCCAAGCCAAGTAATCAGCAACTCAGGGTAGAAGTGCATCTTCATCTGAAAAAGACTATTTCAGTACTTCAGGTGAAGAAGAACAGCGGAGTTACCATGAAATCTCCTGGGAAGGGAATTTGTCATTGGTAACAAGGATGGCCTTACCAAATGCCAGGGAAAATCAGATCTCAGAAATGTAGAACTGTTTTACCACTTGTGGTACCAGTTTTAGAACAAAACGTTTCTGTCTGGATTAAAATATAAAAAATGGAACTTTGATTCTTTGAGAGCCCAGTTGCTCTGACCTTCTAAGACTGTCGGCCTGAATATGTATTGATTTGTAAAGCTGATGAATTAGACTAACCACATGTACCCTGTAACTTAAAGAACCAATTAGCCATGAAAAATTGCAAGGCAGAGTTTTAATTGGTGCTGTGTGCTTCCTAAGTGACCTTGGGTACATGATACAAGGAAGTCAAATGTTCCGACTCCAGCAACACTCTCTAATTTACTTAGGAGGAGCAGTGAAGCCATTTCTTGGCTCATTGTGCAGCCTGATGAGCGTTCATTAAGATTCTTTTTACCACTCGAGCATTTTGTTGTTTTTTGGTTGCATATTGGATGGCTTCCTAGCTATGTCCAAAGAATGGACAACTCTGGATGGACTAAGAAATATGCAGAATGAGGTATGTTTTGTGTTTGTGTTTCCATTCAAGCTGCTCTTAAGCTACTATGACTTCTAGTCCTACAAGAGACTCCTGTAGTGACCACATAGCCAACACTTCAAAATAGTCCTGTTTGCACATAGTGCTCTCCCTTTCTCTCAAATGTCTTTCTCCCATGCAGGATAACAGCTCCTAGGAATTAAACTCTTCTGCCCAGATGTGTTGAGATAGGTACAGTTAGAATGCTGAGAGCAGAGTACGGCGATGGGAAATGTTGTTGTGTGATACAGCAGGAGTGAATGAAGTTGTTTATCTGTGAAAATATTTGGGCAGTCTGGTCAACCTATATAGTATCTTACTGTCTTGATTGTCTTGCTGATGTTAGTGGGCTGTAGGAAGTGAATCACTAGCATTGTAAACATCTGACACTTGATAAAGCTGATATATTTTTCTTTAAATAATAATGTGTCAATGTTGTGCCCTTATGAAGAATGTTTCATTTTAATTTCCCCAGCATCATTGCTTGTGCCATGGGCATGAAACGTTATGTGGAGGCCAACATCTCCCTGAAGTCCCACACCACGGTCAAATACTTCATGAAGATGTGGAGCAGTGTTAGTGATACCCTCATCTTCATCTTTCTTGGAGTGTCTACCATTGGAGAAAATCACGAGTGGAACTGGCCATATATTTTCTTCACTGTCATTTTCTGTCTGATTTGGAGAGCACTAGGTATGGTGAAATGATGCTCTTTTGTTGTGGTTGTTGTTTGAATGGAACTTTATGATTCTGTTAGATGAGAGAATGCTTCTGCCCCTGCCATTACGTCTCCAGTTTCCCCATGTGTGGTGGTTATAGATATGAGTCATAGAATCATTTGAGTTGGAAGGAACCCTTAATGATCACCTAATCCAACTCCTCTGCTGTGAACAAGGACAAGAAATGGGCTGTAGCCCTCCAGCACTGCTGTGGGGCTCAAAAGCAAGTCAGGCACCCTCCTGCAATTTTCTAGTCTGTGCAATCACCACAGACAGCACTGGTGCTAAATAGAAATTCTCACGATACCTGTAGGCCCTTCTTTGATTATCACGATCTCCTCTTCCATTTCAGTGTGTCATGGTCCCTTGCTATCTTCACAGTTGGAGAAGGAGCGTAAGCAAAGACCCTGGGATCAGGGCTGTGTAAAACCCTGAGGCCTTTGGCTGCATATCCTAAATTGCAGAGATGTAGGGGGTTTAATTCATAACAACTTCTGTGTACAGCAGTATCCTTAAATGGAAAACTGGAAGAACCGTTGGACAGCTGTCCCTGGAGATGCTTTATGCAGATTATTTGTGGGTAGATGAGAACTAGGACCTAAAATGGAGGTTAAAGGCAAAAATATGACGATATTGTGTAACAAAGATTTAATTACCATGTTTAGGAATATAAGTAGCACCCTGCTATTTTTTTGTTGTTTGTTTGGGATTACATAAAGAACAAATCTTCGTGATGTGACATGGAAAGGAAATATGAAGCAACACTTCGCTGTCTTCTCCCTCTGTGGGAATGACTGTGAAATGCTGCTAGGAGAATGATATCCTGAAACAGTTTGAGAACTGGTCTCCAAGGCACAGAAAATGAGCTGTTCAAGGCAAGCTGTAGCTTTTCAGCTGCTGTTGTCCCTGTTTGGTCCACCCACCCTGCTGAACAGGGTCAGCGGGCTGCTCAGGAGCTCCATGGAGGGGACTCTACATCCTCCGTGGGAATCCATTGCAGTGTTTGACCACACTCACAGTCAAAAAGAGACCAAAACTTAGTGGTAGCTGAAGAAAGAGTGTTGTACTTTACTGGTAATCTTTTCTAAAGGTGATCTTGTTGAGGTTGGCTACAAGGAAAACCTGAGCTCTGGTGCCAGGACTCTGGGGTCCCATTTTTATGACTTCTAAGTGACCAGATAAATGTTTTAGTGTTGTCCTCAGGTGTACCTTACACTAATCCGGTGTTCTGAGCGGCTGTTTCTTTATTGTGTTCTGTATTATTGTCCTCATCTGAGTGAGTGCAGAGTGCTCACCTTGTCCACTGAATATAGGAGTACTAATATCATACAGATATTTTTTTCAAAGGATAAGATGATACAGATGAACTCTGTGACATCAATGTTTCCATCTTCTTCATTCTCTATCTTTCTCACCTGTGAATGTTTTTATATATTAACAATATCTGCAGATACAGCAGAGCACACGTTTTTGGCAAAGACTTGATAGCTACAAAACATTCAATGGGATTTATGTTTACAAACCACTGAGTCAAACAGAATGGTAATTTACTTGAACTCAAATTTGATAGGCACTTCAAGAAATTGCTTAAATAGGCTAAGCCATGATTAGCAAGACGTAGCAGAATCTGTTTTATTTGCTGCTAATACATGCCAAGGTTTGTTTTAATAACTGCGCTGTAAATGCACTTAGAAACACAGTTATTGGTTGTGCATACGTTGAAATCTTTTATTATGATTAAACATTTCTTTTAAGTTATTTGCTTAGATGAGAAGAAGTTCTGAGTTATGTTGACTTTTATTTAGTTGGAAAATTCTTCATTGCAAGAGGTAAGGAGCGTATTACTGTTACAAAGCACCTGGCAAAATCCTCCGGCTCTGTCAACACAGCCATTCTGACTGCACTCAAATTACACCATACGTTAGAGGAGGGCTCAGTGCTGCGACCAGCAAAGAAAGCACTCTTTATATTCAAGGTCCCCCTGAATTAAATAAGAACACACAAACTAAGGCTGAAAATCATCCTGCATGTGTCACCCTGAGTGGGGCTTCCCATTGATCTTCGTGGCTGTAAATCTTCAAGAAATAAAATGTTTGTCCTATCAGTTGGCATTGAGATCACAGCTTAGAGCTTTAAGGCCAGACTTTTTGTATCTTTCTGCATCTGTCTTGTATTTGCAGATGACTGAAAATTATGTCAACTGCTGTCACCTTATATAGTCTTGAAATTGAGCAGTATAAATCTCTTACGTAAAGGTTTGTCATGTTTGTTGTATTCCCCTAAGCCAGGAATGACTGAGGCTGGAAGAAAAGCCCTTCTCCAGGGCTCTGGGGTTCCAATGGCAGTGGGAAGGTATCCTGCTTGGCCTAGTGCTCAGTGTTCAGTGATGTTTTACTATGGAATATATCATTCAATCTTGAGAAAATTAACATATTGGATATATTTATGACAAATATATCCAATTTCTTTTTGTTTGAGATGTCCCCACCTTCTTTCCTGCTTTCAGGGGTTCTGGTGCTGACCTTCTTTGTGAACAGATTTCATGTGAACACCGTCACCAGCAAGGACCAATTCATCATTGCCTATGGGGGGCTCCGTGGCGCCATTTGCTTCTCTTTGGTCTTCTTGCTTCCTGACTTTCGCAGAAAGAAGCTCTTCATTGCAGCAACCACTGTGGTGATCCTCTTCACTGTGTTTGCACAGGTAACAGTGCTCAGCCCAAAGGACTGTCATGAGCATATGTAGAGAATGACCACGATTTCTGTCTTTTAGATGAGTGACCAGAACTAAGCATTAGACCTGGTGCACAAGCTAATGGATATGAGAATTTACTGGTCATTAAAATTCCCTTTGTGTCCGGTGTCCAGGTGGATAAAGTTTAAAAGTTGCTACTTAAAGAGGCAGAAGGTGTGATGCATTTGTGATGCATTTGTGAGACTGATAGTATTTTGTACAATTAAGTCGTATGCTGTAGCCTTTTTGGTGACAACATGTCCCATTTCTGATCTGATCCATCCTCATTGGGGCGGCAGTGGTGGAAACTGGGAGGAATTTTCTAAGAGTGACTCCCAGTTTATTGGGTTTCCAACAGTTGAAGCAACATCAATTATTAGTTGCTGATCAAAATGTTTTGTATGTATACCTGAGAAGTCTTCATGTTCATGCAGCACAGCAGCTGCAATTATTTTATGATGATTCAGCAGCAAGGGGCTTGCGCTAACTCTTCTGCTGCAAAAAATGTGGGTGTGTTACTTGTTATAAAAGCAAGGAAAATCAAAAGAAATAAGTCATAGCGCACTTGATTTATTTGCCTCTGATTTTTATTTATTTATTTATTTATTTATTTTTAATTAATCTTTGAGTCCAGTTGCTTCCTGCATTCCCATTCTGCCCTAGAACTTTAGTTGTAGTACAGAAACCTTCTTGCACGGAAACTGCTGCTTTGAGTCCGCTTATTTATGGCAGTGTTCTGTAACTGCTGAGAGAATGCAAAAAGGTCCTGAATATGCCGGTGCCCTGTACCCTAACAGATGAGATGCTGCAGATGAGATGAATGTTTCCTTTCCTATTGAGCATCTTACTGGGTTTGCAACAACATGAAGGTTTTGTTTCGGTGCGACAGGGGATTCCTGAGCGCGGGCACGTGTCTGTCTTGCTCCCAGCAGAAGCCTGTAGGAGCTCCTATCGAAGTCCTTCCGTACTGGACTTCGCCTGTGGATGTGCTCCTGCTAGGACTGCTCTCGTTGCAGACAGACGCTCCGTTCTCGCATTCTCGCATCGCCCCTCCAGGTGCTCGGCAGCTTCCCTCCGCCAGGCACTGCTGTGACATCTAGTGGTCAAAGCTTCCCTGCACGCCTCCGGGAGGCGCGGGTTGCGGTGCTCCCTGCTGTTCTCTCCCCGGGAGCGAGCCTGTCACACTGGGGCTGCTTTCAAGGTTTCTCAGCAGAAAGCCACCTTTTGATTCACCTTGCAAATGCTGCCGCGTTCCAGCGAGGACGTGGTGGAAACACTGGGGTCGCTGGGTCCCGAAGGGAGCGGGGCTGATGGTGGGGAGGTGAGCAGCTCCATGTGGGGCTCAAGTGTGTGGGACGGGAGCTGGAAAAGCTCCCTGGTGCAGGATGTCCTCCTCCCCGTCCCAGGATGGGGCTGCAGAACAGCTGCGGGGCCTCTGGGACACGGGGTTACGGTGTCAGCTGCTGAGCGGCCCCATGGCTCAGCATCACCCAGGGAGAGCTGATTCCTTCCGCTTGGCCTCCCTGAACCCTGCAGTGTGGGCGCTGGGTGCTCAGGCAATGCAGGAGGAGCTGTGTTCATTCCTAAATCCTCCTAATCCACACCAGGAACTGAAAAAAAATCTATAACAAGTGCGACGTGCTGTGGGCTTGCAGGTTTCAGGGCCTTGTTGCATGCTGAAAAGAGACAGCGGGGGGTCTGGGGGTGGGGAACGTGGTTAGGTGAGGGTGACAAGTTTTAAGATGCAAATGTGGGTCAGAAATTGAAAAGATACGGTCATTAGGCATGTCTGCTCATGCAGAGACACTCTTGAGGCTCAGACAAAGGTTGTTCTAAGACAGCAGCTCCATTCTGCTGAGGCTTTGGGAAATCCTTCCCAGGACCAGGAAGGGGCTTTTGTGTAACCTCAAAGCTCAGCTGGTGATGTCACTCCCATGCTGATGGGCGGGAGGTGGACAGGATCCCCGTGGGGTCACTCAGCCCTCAGTGGGAGCAGAGCAGGCTTTGCTCAGGCAGCATCGTGCAGCTGGGGCAGTCATGAGAACAGTGGGGAGAAAGCAAACTTGCTGCAAAGCTGAATCTGAAAAGTGCTGTTATAACACAGCATGGAAAACATCAGTAAAAATAATAATGATAATAAGAAAAAGCAGGTTTTAGTGGGAGCCTTCAGCAACTTGGGTTTGTATGTAAGTTCTCCAGAAGTCTGAGCACTGCTGCAGCAGATTGGTGGATGTAGGATTGAGGAGTAAATATCCTCCAATTCCCCACATTCTTCACATTGCTTTGGGTGGAAAGAGCAAGCGAAATATTGGCTACAAACAATTTCTGTTGACTTTTTTTTTTGCTGCTGTTGTTTGTGTAATGTCTTTTTGTTATATATTTACAGTGATATCAGTAGTGACGTAGGTCTTAGTTTGTGTTTAGAGTGTTCAGTAGGTAGGGCACAGAAAGCAGGGGTGAAGCTGGTGAAGGCCAGCAGAGCATCTTGTTGGAGCGCAGATCCACTTCATTTTCTTGGAGATCCTGTCCACGCTGTCTGGAAAGCAAACCAACAACCAGTGTGTAAACAGCTGGGCTTGCCCATACATGGGTCTGTCACTGCTTTATATAACCCAGGAAATGTGGCTATTTTGGGCTTTCTAACTCGGTTGCATAAGGCCCTTCCCCCAAGAGATTTGGTTAATAATTTTGGGAAGGTTGGCTGAGCAATTGTCAAGTCCTCAGTGCTTGCAGGCGGGCCTGGCTCAGTGCCACCCAACCAGAGTCCTTCCAGGGGCTGTGGGCTCATCTGGAATGCCACAGAGGGCACTCACTGTTCTGTCTGTGTGTGGTTTAAAAACCAAATACCGTACTTTCCATTTAAAAATCACTCTCAGCCTTTTGGCCTCTGACCTCTTTGATGAAATTGTTAGCAAATGTAATCATCATATAGAGACTTCTGTATTTTCTCTTTGTTTGCTGAATATTTTTACCCATTAGCTACTGGATTGCTGTTGGTAGAAAACCATTGTGTGAGCTGTGCTATAGCTCATGTCATGTCATAGAATTGTATTGTGGTGTTGTGTTGGAAGGGACCTTAAAGCCCATTCAATTCCAGCCCCCCCCATCCCTCTGCTGATGCAGTCCAGGGTACTGTTGGCCTCCCATCAGCATCATGCAGTGCTCTTTGGGCAAGCTGTCCTTGGTGGGGGGAGGTCATGGGGGACCTACAGGCATGACACAGTCTGGTGGCCTGAGAGACATGTAGGATTCTCATAGTTCTCCCATGGTGAGGAAGGACCTAAGGAACCCAGGTAAGTAGGTGCTTCTAAGTCTAGGAGTCCTGCTCACAAATCTCCAAAACACCATTTTAAAATGAATACAAATGTCGCTGATTATCCATTGAAGGCAAGAGTCCAAACTGTGTTGTCTATAGTTCATTTTTGTAATATCTGTTTGTGAATTTCATATATTTCTTATTTACTCTGAATAATTATGCATTTCAATTGCTATTAGCTATTAAAATGGCACATTAATTGTTTTTACTATAAAAAATGTGTTCGACTCTCCTCTGTGCCAACATTTGTGACGTTTAGAACTCATAAATATTAACTGCTCCATTATTTTTATTGTAAACATGTCCTAGAAAAGAAGTTTCATATGGAAGCCTGACTAGGAAAAGCATTACTGCAGCATTTTCAAAGTTCACTCACAAGGCCTAAAGGACATTAAAACTCTTCCCTTGACCTTCCCACCAGGTGTATACTTTGATTAGTAAACTTAGCCACTGGCTGATGGTCAAAGATCATTGGAGTAATGATCTGTGGCACTTAAATAGTGAGCAGACGTCACCTGCTCTGGTCTGGGCCACCCCTGGCAGGGGCTGTGTGCTCGGATGTCTCCAGGACAGCCATCACTCCAAGCATTTGAACTTTGGACATTTCAAGCCTCTTTATATCTGGTAGACTACAGCAATAGCAAACTTTGGGCTTGACCTTGAGGTTATTGGTTGAGTTTTTGTGATCTTGGAGATGCTGGAGGGCAGGTGAGGGGGGCAGAGCATTGCTCCTCTCTGCCACCCCTATCTAAAGGCTGCGTGTGAGCTGCTGTTGACAAGCTACTACTAAGGCTTTCTGCAAGAAGACAAAATGTTTGGCTTTCAAACATTAGCATATAGCAGGGTTTCCAGTGTTGTCAAAACTTCCTTTATTCTGCCTTAAAACACAGGTGCTAGCTCAAACAGCAGGCCTTGTTCTACCAGAAAAGCTACTTCTGCTGCAGTGGCTGTGGTTTGTATAAATTCCCGTGAATTTGCTCCAAAAGAGACAATGCAAGCACCACCAGAATGCTTGATGTGAAGAAAGCCTGACTTTTGGTTGTGTGATTTTGCTGCAGGGAATGACCATCCGCCCTCTTGTAGACTTGTTGCATGTCAAGAGGAAAAGAGAGAGTGCTCCCACGGTGGGTGAGCAGATTCACATTCGGGTAAGTAAGGAATCCAGCAACACATGGCTTGAGCTTCTCAAGGGCTTTGCTGGTGGGCATAGAGTCCTTCTGCAATGCAATGTGCCTCCGGAACTCCATAGCCTTGCAAACTCCTCTTGATTTTGCTTGAGTCCTCTGCAGGTCAGACCCTTTCCAGGTTTAGAGTCCTATGCAGCTCTCTAACACAGGGTTATTATTTCTATTGCATTGGCAACCTTTCACAGAGTTGAGTGTTGCACAAGGTGATGTACAAACATGGCAGGCAAAGATGGTCGCTTGCCCAAAAGCTTGTCAGAAAATCATAGAATAGATTGGGTTGGAAGAATTTAATGATCACTCAGTTCCAACCCTGCCATGGTCTGGTTGCCCCTACCAGGTCAGGCTGCCCAGCACTCCATTCAGCCTGGCCTTGGGCATCTCCAAGGATGGAGCACCTGCATCAGCATCATCAGTTTGGATATTTAAAAAACAAACAAACAAAACCCAGGAAGAGTAAGACAAACACTATATTGGACAGGATCACTGAAGTCCCCGTAGCCCAAAGGTGCAGTTTGGTTCACCTTGCTCTCACCATCCAGACGTTGGCCTTTCTGCTTACAGAGACTTCATTGCAGAGTGATTCAACTCCAGGAGAAAGCAAGGATTTCTGCACCCTTCCCCAGGGCTCTGCATGGCTGAAGGGAAGCAAGGCTGGATCCCACTGCAGCTGTGATGCAATCTGGGGAACAACTGGATCTTGTTCAGTTTGATGCTTACAACCCAATAGAGAACTGTGGCGTGGGATGTTTAATTTGATGATGTGCCATGTCCAGTACGAAGTACTGCTCTGAATTTAATTGCTTATGCCCAGTCACACTTCCATAAGCATGTCTCCTTCTGGAATATTTTTGCCTTCTTTTTGAGTAGCTAGAAATAGAGATGTTAGGTCTGGGGACATGTATAAAATGTTTGGCATCCTCACAATTAGGTTGTATTACAGGGCTTTGTCTGAGGTTAACAGAACAGTTCAATAGGCTGAGGAGGCTTTTCCTATAATGAACAGAGAATACTTTCTTCTTTTGTTAGTGTCTGAATAGTAAATCATCTCTGAAAATGTGTTTATTGGGAAATGTGAGCTGAAAATGGCCATGTACCAATTAAGTTAAGTAGACAAGGTAACAATGCAGATAGTTGGAAGGCAGGCATGCAGGGAACCAGAAGCAGCTTTTGTCCTCACATTTCTCAGTCCCCATAGCTGGGACATTCAGCGTGAGGCCCTGTTTGTGCAGCTCTGGCTGGGAGGTGCCACCCAGTGCTCACAGGAGCACTCATCAACCAGGATTCTTTAATGCGTTTTAAAAAATAATGATGTTTTTGAATAAGGCACAGTATGGTCAATGATTTTATTTAGTGGGAAGTGCCTGGGGGAAGGCAGTACTTATTATTCAAGTGGAGTATTCATTTGTACATTATCTCTGTTTATATCCTGAAGATACTGTTCTCCTGAGACAAGCTGTCCTCGAAACACGTGGCACGAGCATTACTGAGGCCCGGTGTGCAGGATGTGCCAGCCATTAGCCAACCTGCACGTATCATAAGGAACAGATCCCCGTCCCCCAGCGATTAGTCTTTGCTTGCACAGACCTGAAAGAAAGCAGCCAAATCTCTCATTGTGCTCCAGAACCAAGGGATACATGTGTAGGGCTGAATGGGGAATTAGGCTGACAGCCCCTCTTCTTGTTTACCAGAGCCGTGTACCTTGCTGGAAATGTCCCCCATTCTGTCTGCTGGCTTTTGATGTTTGCTGACTGAGTTCATCACGTATGCAATACATGCAACCAGTGTATAGCAAAATCCTCTCTTCTGTTTAGTTCTTGGATCACTTGCTGGCTGGCATAGAAGATATATCTGGACACTGGGGACAGTATTACTGGAAAGACAAGTAAGGATTTGCCAAAATACAACTGTGTACATGTGTAGAAAAAAATGAGTCTGGTTCCTATTCTGTAAGTTTCTGCTGTGGGCTGCTGAGCCTCATTCATCCTTGTGGCACGGCACAGATGGGAAGGGGCAGCTCCTCCATCTGCAGCAAGGTGAGACCAGGCTCCTGGGGCACTGCTGCTGAGCAGAGCAAAGCCTCTTTCCTTCCTTGCAGGAAGCATGTTGTTCTTTGCTCTAAAAAGACTCCTTTCTCCCTACCTACAGTGTTTGCCCCTTGTCCAGAGAAATTTGCTGGAAACACAAGAGCTGTGGGTGCCATGGTAGATTGTCCATGTAGAAGAAATTATTGTTACTTTTAAATAATAGCTTAACCTATAGTAGTAACAATCTACGTGGTTTAATTCGTGTACAGCTGACTTCATGATAATGGCTTAGATTGTGGCAGCTGATGGGTATTTTCTTAGAAATGTCAGTGCTTGGAAGTGCCACTAGAGGGTATGGGAAGCACTACTGCTGCTCCTTGAAAGTGGGTTTCCATGTGGCTGAGCTGCAGCATCGCTGTCTGTTACCGGATTTTTTCCAAATGTTGTGCTGCATTTGAGCAGAAAGTGGGAAGAAACAACTCAAGAGGGCATCTGGAAGTGTTTAAATCACTAAATCCTGTTGTATCCCTGGGGTTACTGCATGTACTTGTAGCACTTACTGGCCTTTGTAATAAATTTGGCACTTTGGGGAGTTTTTATTGTATTTGAAGATGTTTTAATATCTTAGCTTATGTACAGAAATAAGTAGGGACTGGCCTCTTGGGCAGCAGGTTTCTGGAAAGCAGGAAATGAAATATAATAGAGTATGGGGCAACTGTTGACTGTGAAGCTGCTGGCTTGCTCAGACCCACAGTAGTTGTAGGGAGCAAAGGGCAGGAGGCTAAGAACGCCTTGCTTTGTTCTCAAACAGGTTGGAGTATTTCAACAGCAAATATCTGCAGAAGTTCCTGCTCCGAGAATACGACCAGCCCAAATCAAGCATTGTGCTTCTCTACGAAAAGCTGGAGCGGAAGCACGCCATCGAGCTGGCAGAAGCAGGGCAGCTGGGCCATGCCCCATCTCACCCATCCTTGCTGTAAGTGCTCCCCAGCCTGTCTCCACAAATAGGGTTATAGTTATAATATAGCTGTGTCCCTGTTTGGGAAAGCCAGCAGATAGGGTTTATCCTCCTGTCATATGCTGGAAAGAATCATGACTGAGATTTATTGACTTTTCTCAAGGAAAGAAATCTTCTTTTAAGAAAGATAAAGATAGATAGATCTGGAAAGATTTAAGTACCTCCAAGTCATTGGACATATAGCTGGGAATATCAGCTTTGTTTTAGAGCCTTTCAAAATCACATTAGGTGGAAGTTTGGTTTGCATTGGATTCCAGGTAGCCAGATTACTGTCTCTGATGTGCCACCTTCATGGAGTGCTATCTGCAAGGGAAAGGCACTTGCTCAACTCTGTAGCTTCATGTGGAATAAATACGAGATAAATCTGATGTGCTGCACACCAAGAGGCTGCCACTGTCCACATCCCTACCACCAGAAGGAGCAGTTACAGAATCAAAGGATCACAGAATGCTTGGATTGGAAGGGACCTTACAGCCTCCCTAGCCTCAACCCCTGCCATGGGCTGGCTGCCCCCCACCAGTTCATGCTGCCCAGGGTCCCATCCCACCTGGCCTTGAGCACCCAGGAATGGGGCACCCACAGCATTCTGGGCAGCAGCGCCAGGGTCACTGCCCTTGGAGTAAAGAATTTCCCCCCGGCATTTAATCTGAATCTCCTCTCTTTTATTTTAAAGCCATTTTCCCTTTATCTCTCACTATCAGACCATGTAAAAAGTTCCTCTCTCTCTTTTTTTTATATGCTCCTTTTAAGTATTGAAATATTATGAAGGTATTTAACAAACTTCTCAGCCTCCTCTGCTTCTCCCTGCCCCAGGCTGTTCCATAGAAAGAAACAGCATACTTTGTGCCAATGCAAAATAAACACTATTTCAAGATTAGGAGGAGGATATTCACAACTTACTGGTGGATGGCTGGGCTCCATCTGTAAGGGCCTGCTATTGGTCATGTCTGCCTGTTCCGCTTGTGGTGCCCAACAGAGATACTGGGCATTGGTGACACACCAGCTGTGCACCTCCTGAAGTAAGATGCTTTGGTTTTCTTTGCAGTAACAGTGACAGGACTGTCATCTCAGAGAAGAAATCGGAGGATGCTTTGTGTCCGGATGGTCTGGAAGACATACAGGAAATACTGGCAAGGAACTTGTACAGAATCAGGAGAACGGTATAGCCCTTCCCTCCATCCATATTTTACATGTCCAATAACAAAAGTTATTTCTGTTATCCCAGCAGCCTGAGCAGATGTTGTGAATATTTACATAATTACTAATGATGTGGCTTTGTGAGCAGAGAATAGTTGGCTGTGTGAAGCCAGATCCAGTTTCCAAGTCAGTGGCACGTTTCTGTTTGCAGCATGACAGCTTTTGAAAGGTTCCCCCAGTCAGCCTGTAATTTCACGAGGTATTTTAGGCATCAGCACCCAGCACCAGAAGCGAAAAGAGCACATGGATCCTCAGGCATCAGGTTAGCTCATCCAGCTCCTGGTTACCTACCAGAGCTGCATGGTTGCAGCATTACAGCCATCTCATGCCCCATCATTGTGCCATTGCAGCCTGGTGTGCTGTGACCTCAAAGCAATACCAATACCATACCAATACCAAAGTAAACCAATACCGTAATTTTTACTACAAATCTGGTACATCAGGGGATGACATAAAAGCATTTGCTGTTTACAGAATATCTCACAAATAATCCCTCTGAGGTTTGACACAGAGCCTAGGAAGGTGCATTCTGATTGCTGCTCACGTGCTGATACATGGAGCCTTATCCTTAAAATCCACCTAAGCCTTTGTTTTGTGGATTATGCACGAAATACTGAGTCCTTGGGGATGTGGCTGGGGTGGGCATCTCAGCACAACAGAAGCAAACACCCCCTTGCTGCCACTTTGCTGAGCTGAGAGAAAGAATGAGATAAGGCTGGGCAGAAACCTATAGAAATGGTAGAATGCTCTCTACAGCTCCCTCAAAGGAGGTGGTAGTGAGGTGGGGTTGTCCTCCTCGTCCAGGTAATTGTGATAGGATGAGATGTAATGGCCTTAAATTGCCCCAGGGAAAGTTCGGGTTGGATATGAGGAAAATTTCTTCTCTGAAAGAGTGGTGAGGTGCTGGCACAGGCTGCCCAGGGAGGAGGTGGAGTCACCATTCCTGAAGGTGTTAAGAAATATGGAGATGTGGCACTGAGGGACATAGTGGGTGTGATGGGGATGGGCTGATGGTTGGACTTACTGATCTTTTCCAATATTAATGATCCTATGATTCTCTCTGGCCACCTCTGGGGCTGAGTGTCCCCACATCTGGGGGACAACTGAGAGCTGTCCCATGCTCACAATGCTCTGTGGTGCACGGCAGGGCCCGGCATACAGCAGGCACACGCTGCCCGGCGAGACGGAGCCTGTGGAGCAGGCCCAGGAGATCCTCATCCTGCAGCGCCGCAGCCTGCGGGTGGATGCAAGTGGGAGCGATGGGATCAGCCCCAGGAAGGAGGTAAGGGAGTGGGGATGTGCCCGCAGCAGCAGTGCATGTACTCTGTGGTGATGGGACCGCAGGTATCACAAGAACAGGGAAAAGGGCTTTTCCCTCCTCTCTTATCTTAAAAAAAAAAAAAAAAGAAAAAGCAATAAAAACAAAAAGTCTTCCTCAATCCAAAATGGCATTCCAGTGAGTAGGGAAATAAACCTACCCAATTCCTGACAAACAAATGAGCCATCCTGTGTGCAGCACCGTTCAGCTCTTTGTAAGCTGAAGCTTCCACCCATACCAGGAAAGTTACTGACTAAGCAAATATTATTAATTGAGCCTCAGCTTGTAGATTTAGAGATCTACTTTTCCCATGTTTTCTTTTCTGGGAGATTTTGTGGCAGGCTGGTGTTGAGTGCATCCATTGTCAGCACTCCAGATGCTCTGCAAACATTTAAAATTGGTGGGTTTTTTGACCCCAAAAAATCCTTGTTTAAAAGGACAGAAGTGTTACTGTGAGTGCTCTTATTTATTTTGGAGGTGATTTTTTTGTTTTTAAAAGCAACTACAGTTCTGGGCAGACTCAAAGGAAATAAAATGGAAGCGTTGCATGCTGGATTGCTGGAGAGCCACACAAATTCCAGGTTGGCTGGGATAGCTCCCTGCCAGCTCATATTCTGAGCGAGGGGAGAAGCAAGGTGAATGTGACGCCTGTGTGCCCGTGGCTTCTGCTGGCTTCTCTGCCATTGATGAAAGGAGCTGGGCAAGTGTTCCCTGTGGAAAGGGGGAATGGTCCAGGAGCAGCATGTGAGGAGTGGGCTCAGTCCTACTAGGCTACTCTAGTCCTTTGTAACTCTTCATCTGCAGGAAATCCAATGAAGACCCCACAATTTGCCCCCAGACCGCCGCCACAGCACAGCATCAGTAATGGCTGAGCCATCCTAAATTTCACCTCCTTCTTGGAGGCTCCATCACTGAGGAGAACAGGGTGACCTTTTAAAGAGATACTTTATCTTTCTTTATTTAGATAGTGATTTTCCACGGCAGCACAAGATCTCCAGGCTGCCGCGGGCTTTATTCCATTCTGATTTCTTTGTTCAAATGCCAGTCATCGAGGAGCCTGCCGAGAGCTGCAGCGATGCACCAAATGCTACTGTTTCCCAGCCCTCCTTGCAGAAAGGTGTTCCGGCTCTTGCAAACAACTTAAAAGATTTAATTTGATCATTTGCATGCTGATTGGTACTTACAATTCAAAATAGATAGGGAAGAACATGGCATGTTCCTGTAGAACATTTGGTATAATTAAACTTCAAAAGAACAACATCAAACTCGCACTGATTTTGAGCACATTATGTACTTTAAGGACATTTGATTGTTAACCCTTGTGCTGCCACATTCCTGCCCTCTGCTGCTCCCAGCAGTGATATTAAATAGGGAATCTGGCACCTCAGTAAGACCTCCATTTCTCTGAGCACTTAGAACTGGCCTTTCTGAGGATAGAATGCTCTGGTGAACATTCCCCTTCAGACAGATGCATGGGACTTGTCAGCTGCTGTCAGTGGTGCACAACGAGCACTTGGGTGCAATGCAACATGCCAAGCTGATACTTAATGCAGCTGTCAAAAATATAAAAAAAAGATGCATCCAGCAAGACTAGGGAGGCAATTGTCCTTCTGTGTTTGGCACTGGTGAGGCCACACCTCGAGTGCTGTGTTCAGTTTTGGGCTTCTCACTGTAAGAAAGATGTCAAGGCCTTGCGGCATGTCCAGAGGAGGAAGGTGGAACTGTGAAGGGTCTAGAGCACAAGACTTATAGGGAATGGCTGAGGGAACTGGGACTGTTAGTATGGAGAAAAGGAGACGTAGGAGAGAACTTATTGCCCTCTACAACTCCCTGAAAAGAGGTTGTGGCAGGGTGGGGGTCAGCTTCTTCTCCCACATAACTTGTGATAGAACTAGAGGGAGTGGTCTCAAGATGGTCAGGGAGGGTTCAAGCTGGATATTAAGAAAAACTTCTTCTCTGAAAGAGTGATCAGGCACTGGAATGGGCTGCCTGGAGAGGAAGTGGAGTCACTGTTCCTAGAGGTGTTGAAGGGAAGGATAGATGTTGCACTGAGGGCATGGTTAGTGGGCATGGTGGAGAGGGATTGGTAGTTGGCCTAGATGGTCTCAGAGGTCTTTTCTAACCTTAATGGTTCTGTGATTCTATAATTTGAGGATACCCTATCAGTGGAGGTGCCTGAGGTCAGTTTGGATGAAGCCTTGGGCAAACTGATCTGGTGGGTGGCAGCCAGCCCACAGCAAGTGATTGGAACTAGATAGTCTTTTAAGAAGCCTTCCAACCTAAGCCATTCTATGTCTCGTAGGAGACGTCTGGGAGTGCTTATCATATCTTTACAATAGCTACTTCTCCCTTGCCCAGTCTAAATAGAGCATGTATAAATGCTGAGAGACATCACTAGAGTGGGCCTCGGCCCAAAAAGCAGCACTCTGAAACCTAAACCAAAAAGTCAGGAGGATGTGGTGTGATCAACACTTTTATCTGTTATCTTGTAGAGTATCTGCCTCATTTTGATTTGGATAGAAGTAAGACCATCCTCAGCCTCAGAATATCAGCGTGCAGTAGGGAGGTGTGTGATGGCAGCGCTTCCCACTGTAAGAGAAAAGATTGTAGCACTGGAATTTGCAAGCGGAAAGAAGAAACACTGATAAAAAGCAGTTTATTATTTAAAAAATAAGTATTTTAAATTTTATATTGCATAAAAATAAGGCACTGATTTAGAATTTCATGCCAAATTGACAAGCAAATGGTCTTTAAAATAGCTGTCAGCAGAAGACTGAGGTGGCTGGCATTGGAGACTTTATATCTATTTCATACTCCATTTTTTGTAGTCCCTGAAAGGAGGGTTTGGCCTCCCAGGCTTTGAGTCAGCAGCAAAATCCATTCATCCCCATGCTGCACGTTTTTCTATTCTGCATTTCTCCACAAGATGGAAGCATTACAACTGTGTTTGCAAACCAAGCTGGAAAACAAGGAGCAGAACCAAGCTTCCAGCCAAGGGCCCTGCAACCCTCCAGCAGTGGTGCAATGTGTGGGCTGTCTTCCTTTTCCAGCCTATGTGAAAGGAAGCTTTTGCTATACATTCAACCAATTACATGTGATGAGCTGAGCAAATAATTAAAAAATCCCTTTGGCTCAATAGAAATACTGCTTTTCCTGCTCAGCGGCTGTCAACATGTAGGGCTTTTTCTTTTTTACTGAAATTGATTGTTCTTGTGCTATTAAATTATGAAGCTGTAGTAGCTCAATTAGATTAATCTCATAGTTTATTAGGGACTGATTTCTTTCTTCCTGTATCAGCCAACACAAAAATAAGGGCTGCATGGAAATGTGTCCTTCTGTAGGCCTCCATCAGCCCAAGGACCAGCAGTGGAGCTCCTCCCGCCCAGCTTTTGCTTAGCCAGCACCAGTCCCTGACTAGACCAGTCCTGGTCGAGTATTAAATGTGGAGGTTGGTGGCCCTGCCTGTGGCTGGGGCCTTGGAGCATAATGATCCTTGAGGTTACTTCCAACCATTCTATGATTCAGTCCCTTCCTGCCTTTGTCCTGCCTGTCTTCAGGTGTCAATCTTTTGGCTTTACTGTGGTGTGAGGTGGCTCCTGGCTGTGCTAGGAACCATGCTATGGGTTTGCCAAGTGAATAGGTGAGAAGCAAGGAACGAACAACCGTTGTCCTCTGAGCCTGTAGTGCGAGTCAGATGTTTTACACCAGGCTCAAAAATCTTGGCAAGGTTGAGAGGTGACTTCAGATCTGAATTGCAGCCCAGAGGATTAACTCCAAGACACTATCTATTTCCAACAGAAAATTTGCCTTCCTCCGCCTAAGGACAAAATTCCTCCCAAAGGCCACTGCTTCCTGTGACTATGCATCACATTGGCTCTCAACGCTGTGTGTGTTTTAGGCTTGCCTTGTTTCAGGCAAGGAGCCAACACAAAGTACCCTGGCACTGTGTTTTCTGAGACCCGGGATAGCTTTTATTTACCATGGAACACCCAGAAAATCCTTGCACCTGTAGCCAGGCAACTTGGCTCTCTTTTCTTCTGCCAAAACACAAGTGCACTCCCCTAGAAAGAGCTTATTTGGAGCTGCCCATAAGCCGTGTGCGTAAATGACATACTGCCTTTGGTAATTATGTCGGAGCCCTTTCATGGAGCATGCTCTGAGCAGTATTAAATGCCTCTGGGAATGGCTTTCCAGGGAGCCAGGCTGATGCTGCGGAGCCCGGGAGGCATTGTCATGAAAATGGTCAATAAAACCGTGTACAATGAGCAGAGGGCATCGGGTCCCTTGTTAAGGGAGGGGGGAAAGGGAAGGGAAACAAAACAGAAAGCCAGGTTGGGAGATGTCCAGAGTTATTTGGCAGTCCAGATTCCTGGCCCTGGGTGCCAAATCACAGCTGCACAAGAGGCTTATTCCCAGTTCACAAGAAAACTGAACAGTGAGGGCAGGACGGTGCTACCTGCTGGTTTCAGAAAGGTGGTGGTGGGCTCACTGCCGCCTTCGTGCTGCATTTGTGTCCTGGGCCTGGGCTTGGTGTCCCCATGGTGGTCAGTTCCTCCTGCATTGCGCTGCTGGAGAGCTTCCACCAACCCAACCACATTGGTGTCTGTAAATATTTCCCCTTAGAAATGCCTGCCATGCACTGGGTCTATTTTTAGAACTAGTTCTTCTTGTTTTTCTTGGCAAAAGTAAAACAAATGGAAGCAGAGTCCTTGGGGATCGCAAATGGCTTGTTTATGAAGCATGAGTGTCATTAACAGACTTGCTAGCAATCTTCATAAATGCATTAAAGCACTTTTCTTCCTTAATCACAGAAGGAGGGCTCTTCCCTGGTGCGGGGTGACTCCGATGTGCAGCCCCGGCTGTGCCGCTCCCTCACTGGTAAGTGGAGATGGGGGTCCCTTCTCACCCTGCCCTGCTGGGGACATCTCAGCAGGGGATAAGGAGGGCAGTGCTCTGAGATGTGAGCGCTGTGCAGAAGGGATTCCGAAAATTAACATCCTCGGTGTTTTGTTTTGTTTGCTGAGTATTATTAAAATGCGCCATTAGAAGCACTGTCATGAATCTTTGTTACAGAAGGACCAGTGGTTCAGAACCTCATGTGTTTTTGTATGCGCAAGCTCATTCTTTAGACACATGAAAGCTTAGATTTCACGCTTTAAACAAATGGTTTAATATGAAGGAGTATAGCTGATCAAAGCTGTAAAATGCATCTTCCCAAATGTAGAGGATGGTCTTGTTTTAGCCTTGAAATCACAGCATTATTCAGTTTCCATCTCTACCAGAGATGTAGCAGGTGGGAACTGGGCAATGAGTCTTTGAGTACTCAGCAAACACCATCAGCACAGTCACATCTGTAAGGCTGAGGATTAGAGAGATGCTACATTTGTCAATCCTCCAGGTGGGAGGAGGTTCCCTGGAGGTTTTCAAGGAGAGGGAAGATGTCACACTGAGGGTCATGGATTGAAGTGATCACAGCCGTGGGTTGATGCTTGGACTAGATGAGTTAGTGGTCTTTTCAACATCACTGATTCTATGATTCCATGATTTTGTGATTTACTGCCTCCAAATATGGGCTGACCTGGACTGAGGGTCTGGGTTAAGCGTTAGTATACAAAGTATTTCTTTATTAGTTGTATACTTGAAAAATATTTAAGAAAAGAGAAAGTATATTTGTTTCCTTTCATTATTTTTTATGTCATTCTGATTCTAATGTTGTCTTTCTTTGCAGTTTTATTTAAAAGTTTTAACTACAAACATATTAAGTAGAGAGTTGTATAGCTGGTGCTTTATCTGCACAAAGGTGCCTCACTGCAGCTTTGCACAAGCAGGTGGAGGGAACACAACTCTGTGGCATTCCTGTGTTCGTGGCGTGGCCACCTGCTGTGGATGTATCTGTTTTAGTCCATGGTTTATTACAAATGTTTAACATTTGTAAAATGTTTAAATGTTCTTGAAGAAGAACATAAGTGTAACCAGAGCAGAGTGCCAAAAATACAGAAATTCTGGGTTGTTTTTAAATTATTTTTTATTAAATTCTCTCGTCAAGGCTGTGCCCCAGGGAACACGTGGGCACAGGGCTGATGGGGCTGCACTCCTTTCATTGTGCCTTTGTGCACCCAGACAGAACGTGGCATGGTTTCATTGATCCAGACACATAGCATATTTCAAGGTACAAAGTAGGGCTCACATTCTGCTTTTTCCCCCTCCCCTCATCTACCCAGACGCTGATCTTTGTCTTCTGTTTCGTAATTGAAAAGTGATCTTCGCAGCAACATAGCTCATCCCCAATGAGCCAGTGGTCATCTCAATGGCTCTCAGTACTGCTTCATTACTGCTGACCCACAAAGGAGAACATCCCTCACCCGTGCCTCTGCTTTTCTCTTCTTGCAGTGGAGGATGCAGAGAAGGTTCGGGCTGTGAAGCAGAACCGGTCGCAGTCTGTGTGTGTGATCCCTGCCCACAGCAAGCAGGAAGGAGCAGGGAAAGAGATGGCTTCGGATATGTGATGCTGCTGGCTGCGTCTCACTGCTTTGCGGGTGTCCATAATACAGTCTGCTTTCTTTTCTTTTTCTCTTTTTTTGAGTCTCTCTCTCTCTCTTTTTTTTTTTTGTAATGGTGACCAGCAACATGATCTTAATGTAAATAAGATGCGTATTGAAAAGGACAGCATGAGCATGGACTATGCAAAAAAATTCTCAGTGATCTCCATCACATCATGCTCTCGTTGTGCAGCACTATGTTTTGAAAGGGAGGCGAGGAAAAGGCCAATATTGGATATTAGGAAAAACTTATTCTCAGAAAAAGTGGTGGGATATTGGCACAGGCTGTCCAGGGGGATAGTGGAGTCACCATCCCTGGGGGTGTTCAAGAAAAGGGCAGATGTGGCACTGAGGGATGTGATCTAGAGTAGGCACAGGCACGGTGGTGGTTGGATTAGATGATCTTAGTGATCCTTCCAACTGCAATGATTCTATGATTCTGTGAAATGATGCACAGACAAGAAAGTGCAAGAAAAAAATGTTTAATAAAATGAGATATTGGGTCTTCTCAGTAGTCAGCAGGGATAGAATAAACAGCAGGGAGCATTTAGATTATATGTTAGGAGAAACTTTGTAATCTCAAGGAGAGTTTTATTAAGCGATGGAGCATGCTGCAGAAATGACAGCAGAAAGAGCAAAAAACCTCTGCTGCTTCTCAGGAATTGGTGAGTCCTCAGTGTGAGCATTAATGTGCATTCCTGAGTCAAATCGTGTTGTTCAATCAGGTGAAGTGTCTTAGCAGAGGGAACATCTCACAACAGCACGTGGGTCTCTTAAGCGAAACTTATTACGGATGTGTTAGAAGGAGTACAAATATTCTTTTAAAATTTATTTAAGGATTAACATTGGAAAATAAAATGTCCTATGGAGAAGCCTGTCAGTTTTGATCTCTGGGGCAGGAAACGTGCAAACTCTTTGTGCAAAGAGCAGTGCTGGAACGGGAGAGGGGCAGTCGCTGACCTGGGGTCACTCCTCTCACGTGGTGCTGCAGTATTGCTGCTGGGTCTCCAACATCTGCTCCAAAGCAGGCACCAACCAGTGCAAAGGTTGGTGCCTGCACCACGAGCAGGACTGCAGAGGATCTGAGAGGTTTTCTGCTGCCATTACTGAGACTTTCAGTGTTGGAAGAAGCTTGAATTAGTGTCCTAATAAGTAGAAAAAGAGGTCCCTATCCCTCTGCTGTCAGAAAAGGCACAAACCCTGCAGCAAAGCAGGTGCAGAGCTGCAAGGATGGCACCTGAAGATGAGAGACACTTTCACATTTGGGTCATTTTGTCCAAAGGTGAAGGTAAGTAAGTGTCCAAGCCTTTGCATTCTTATCCAAACCCAAAAGGCTCAGTTTGGTACTGCAAACATTGGTGTTTTTCTTTGTCTTCCCTTCTTCTGCAATGAATTCAAGAGCATTTTTAAGTTGCACCAGGGGAGGTTCAGGTTGGATGTTAAGAAAAATTTCTTTTCTTAAAAGAGTGGTTTGGCACTGGCACAGACTGACCAGAGAGGTGGGGGAGTCACCAACCCTGGGGGTGTTCAAGAGCTGTGAGGACGTGGCACTGAGGGACGTGCTTGGTGGGCATGGTGGGGATGGGCTGATGGTTGGACTAGATGATCTTAGAGGTCTTTTCCAACCTTAATGATTCTAGGATTCTATGGTTTAATCTGAACAAGTGGCAAAGACACTCCTTCTGAATTAAGAGTAGAAGTTAGAGGAATTTGCATACTTCCCTCCATGATATTTTTGGACCTTGGGAGCCAATCTCCTGTGTACATGAGTGCTCCATGAGGAGATCACTGCCTGGTACCCTGCAGCATTCATTCAGAGGTAAAGACACAAAAATGTATGTTTGCTTTACAAAGATGTAAGGGCCTCATTTTTATTTGGATAAACTTCTATAACACTGTCTCGGAATAAATTGATTAATTTAATTTCACTTGAAGGCTACTCTTCGCTGCCCAACATTGTAAATTTATCCAATTGCAGACGAAAATCAGCCTTGCATTAGTTTTTGTGTATGCATATGTGTATATGTGCATATTTACTGATTTTTGTATAATTCCATTGTCATCACTCATTGTCATGAGTTCTCTGTAACACTGTTATGGGTTACCAAGGCCCTTATCGGGTTGTGGCTGCTTTGGCACATCTAGATTTCTTCATAATACTGTAGTAAATGATAAAAATGGTTGGAAAAAGCAGGATGCTTCCAGAAAATGGGGTCTTTGCACTACCTATATTTTCTCCGATGATGAAAAAATGGACAACCAGGCATCAGCTTGATCTTGCATGGATCCCAGTCCATTAACCCCTCCCAACCTATTAATCCCTCCCAATGCTGCTCTGCAGTGCTGGGACCCAAATACCTCTCTGCTGTATGAACAATTTGCTTGATCTGCAGAGAAGACAATATTCTGTGCAGTACATACTTTCCCAATGAGTCACTCTGCCCCAAATTTAACCTCCTAGATTTTATGGATTTTTTTAAGAAGTTTCTTTACAAAATATAATAGCACAGGCAAAGCTTTCATGAAGTATTTTCCAGCTGCTTAGTGGCCAAGCCTTCTGCCTAGTGTGTATTTCAGCCTAGCATACATTTGATAATCTATGCCAGTATCCAGTGTTGGTGGTCTTAAAATTCAACAACTGAGTGGAAAACTGTTAAATGCTTGGGCCTCAGAGCATGCCTAATTAATTCTTTGCAGGGTTTTAGTCCTTTAAAAAGTGTTTAAAACATGGATTCGCTGTATCATTGAATATTGCATGCTTCTGTGGAAATAAATTGCATCAGCTTGATTCCTTTGGTAGTTCAGAGAGTTATGGCTCTGCACTCACTTGGGAAGTTTGCAGGAGTCTTTTGAAAGTTCAGGTTAAAACAGGAAAAAGTTGCTAATGATGTGGAGTAGCTCAATGGCAAAGGGAGAGCCCAAACTGGCACCTGGGCACAGCGATCGGCCACGCTCAGAAGCGAGCTGTAAATCTGCCTTGCTCTCAGCCCTACAGAAAGAATTTGCATTCAGCGTGTGGACTTTTTTTCTTTTTTTTCCTACTTTAACCAGAAAATCATGCTTGTGTTTATTTTATTTCATGACTGCTTAAGGTGATTATAACAGCTTAATCCTGGAAAGCGCTAGTAACTCCTGAGAAGCAGGTGAGGCAAGCTGAGCTTTCTTCTCTCCTGCCATCAAGCACTGGGGTATCCCAGAAACACCAAGCATCTTTCAACGTCTGGGCTTACGTGCTTCTTCCAAGAGAAATGTAGACGTGGATGGAGACAAACCAATGATTATGTTCTTCATGCAGAATTAAAGGGGCAAATGTCAATGCAAATATTTATTCCTCACAGTCCATACCAGGACTTCTCCAGAAATCCCAAAGCAAGCTGGAAAGGGCAGCCACCATCTCACCTGTGTTCCCAACCTTGCAGAGCGTGGTGTGGTGTGCGTGGGTCTTGCCCATTAACAAGACTGTCTGTTGATTGTATAAAATATGAACAAAATGCTTCTACAAAAGGAAACGAAAAAACAAATTCAACCTCCGAAACCAAAGTAGATCTGAACCTTAAAACTAATAAAGATGCTTTTCCTGAAGAGCAAAGGTACTAATTTTTCTATCAGTACAGTTCACAATACTACAAAAAAAAAAAAGCAAAAAAAAAAAAAAGCATTCCTATTATAAGAATTTTAATATTATCTACTGCTTTTCTGCAGAGGTGGAGAACACATCCACGGTGTTGAGCTGAGGAGAAAGAAACTCACTGGAGAGGTGCTCTGACCTTGCAAACTCCACAGCTGAAGAATCTGGAAAATGTTTGGCTGGGCACAGAGCAGCCCATCAGGAGCCAGGGCCGGGCATGGTGATGCTCTGCTGCAGCCACACAATGTTTTGCTGCCAATGGGACTGAGAATTGCGCGGGACGCCTTCCAAATGGCAAACCATGCTAACGTGCAAATATGCATTAGCATAAATGCAGCACTGCCAAATACAGCTAGCTAAAAAGCACACACCTAAATGTGGAAGTGTGCATTAATCCCCCCTTCTTTCTTTCTTTCTTTTTTTTTTTTTGAATATACAAGTGCCCACTGGTGTTGTAATTCCATGTGGTTGCACTGCTATCTGCGAGCAGTCCTCGCTGCTGGTATGTCATGCTGTGGTTTCATGGGACACCCTCAGGCAGAACGTCCCCACTGATGGGCTCAGCTCTGACCTATGCATCACAAAAATAGAGGGTAACCGATTTTCTCGGCCACTCCAGACAGGTTTCACTGGTATTAAATGTTTGTTAAATGGAAACCGATTGAAATTGCACTTATTGGAGATTAATTAGGTGATAGATATATTGCACTTTGTATTTAATTAACCGTTTTGTGTTCGATAGAAGGAGATCACTTTGCTGCAGTAGTTGTGTACCGCTAACTCGCTGTGACAGTGAGGAAGAGAGAACTGCTGTATTATTTAACAGCCACACCAGCCTGCGATGTTTAAGAAACAGGAATACAGAAGGTATAATCACTTATTGTAATTTGAAGTCCATTATACTGAGGTTCATCAGTCCACATGCACTGGCAGTTGCGTGAAAGTGTGGTCAGAATTTCACCCGACTCTTTCCAGTTCCCTCGGCAGTCGGCAGCTTCTCTGCTATATCCATATGTGCACAGTTGCCTTCATTACATTGATTTAGAAATTAATTTGGCAATTTGGTTGAGGAAGTGAGCGTTTTCCTCTATCCTCCTTTTAGGCTGGGTCATGGCTCAGGCTGAGGTCTGAAAATCAGCACTTGAATTTTCACTGTAGTTTGAATTTCCTCCCCTAGACTGCTGGCATGCCACAGGAATATAGTTATTGCCCTACAAAAATTGCAGTTTTCCTGGTCTGGCATCCTCTTGCTGGCAGTGATCTACAGCAGATGCTCCAGCAGCAGACAAAAGCATTAGGAGCCAAATGGCAACAGAATTCTGCGCAGGGTTGTCCTCATGCCCGGTGAGACACTGGAAGGGGACTGAGTGCCATATATCGCCTGCCTTTGTGCAGCAGCAGGGAGATCCCCATTCCAGGTGTGTAGGAAGGATGTGCAGGTGCAGACAGCTGAGCTCTGCTCTGTGCCTTGCTGGGTGCAGACATGCCGATGTAACTGTGTGTGTGTGGGATGATCACATCGCTCCGAGAGCATTGGGGTTTTGAGAGGGTCACCAATATTTTAATGCATCGCTTGGACCCCTGGGGTTTGTGTGAGCTTTATTCTGCACGGTGCTTTGGCAGACACAACTGAAGATACCGCAGTGCCGTGGGCTCTGAAATGGTGATATCTGTGGGCTCAGGTTTGCTCGTCTCATGCACAGCAGGCTTTAAGCTCTCTGGTTCCCTGGGCTCGGCACCACGAGTGCCCATGACCCGTGCTCACTGCTCACCGCGCTGAAGTGAGCAGCCACGTGTTTTTTTGGAAACTGTCCTGCTCTGTCTCAATAGCTGTTTGTCATGTTCCCTTAATGCCACAGCTGTTTGGCTATGCCAGGTCATCTGCTTTTATTAGTCCCTTTCCCGCCACCCCCTGAAACTCACACCGGCCGCCCGAAGATCCTTATCTGCATCCCAGAATAGCACTTCTCTCCCTTCTCTTCCCTCAGTGACTGGGAAGCTGCAGTGTTTTCCCCTTTTCCCCCAAATTCTGCTGGGCCATGAAGGCTGGTGTCGCCGCCCTGACAGCGGGCATCCTGGGCAGCACGGCCATGCTGCTCTTCCTGCTCGCCTTTGGGACGGACTACTGGCTGCTGGCTGCGGACACATGCGGGGTCATCAGGGACGGAAACAGCACGCACCAGTCCAGAGAGGTAAATCCCCAACCAGGTTATTCTAGGGAAGAGAGAGCTTTCGTTTAAATAATTTGCTCTAAAACTGTCGAAAAGCGGCACAGCTACCTTCAATTTAGGTGTTGGCAGCTTCAGATCCATGGTGATATTTATGCTTATTTAAAGTGACCTGTTAATGCAAAAAGTCATCCTGAGCTCCCTTGGATGCCCTATCTCTGGAGGTGCTCAGGGCCAGTCGCATGGGCTGATCCAATGGAGGGCAGCCAGGCCACGGCACGGGGTTGGGACTGGATGGGCTTTGAGGTTCCTTCCAACTCAAGCCATTCTATGATTCTGTGAGTGTTTTGACAGTAAAAATGTCTAGAAAACATGAAAACAGTGCTTCTGTATTCTGGCAGATATGAATGTTAGGGAATGAAAGGCAAAAATGTAAGAGCTTTACTTGTTGACAGCCTTTGCCTCGGAAAACAAAAGATATCTCCTGATATTTTCTATTAAAAGATTTCTCCACCTCATTTGTTCATTTAAAAGTAGTTCATATTTTCAAGTGTAGAGCTTGGCAAGCATTTACATCTGAAGTGAGAGAGCTGTGTTACAGACAGCAAACAGGAGCGAGCAGCAGGTGCATGGCAGAGCCAGCAGTGGTTCCTGCCCATCTCACGTGAAGAGGTCTATTGTCAAATTAGGATTTGTGTAGGGTTTCTGTTAGCAGGCAAGATGATTCTGAATGCTTCCTGTTTTTATGACAGGTGTTTTAGTGCTTAGTGCTCCTATCACATGTTTATAGATCCTTCTGAAAGTGTGCTGTGAGCCGAACTTGCTGCTGTCTGTCTGCCCAAGCAATCGAAGCCGGCTGCATTCCCGGAGCCATCCGCTCTTCTGAAGTATTTCCGAGCTGATCAATGCGTGGCTGCAATTAAAAAATGACAGGAGGTTCCTTGTTGTGTGCAGACTTTTTGTTACTCCAAAGTTCAATCCAATTAGGTTTGATGTTTTCTGGTGTGGTGAGTCACACCGGGTAAGCATCATGATGCCAGCAAGAAATGCTGTCATTTCAGAATCTGATTGTCAATTGTGGGGTACTGTTTGAGTCATGTTTCCAAATGACTTTTTCCACTACTGCTACTACTACAGGAAAAAAAAAAAAAAAAAAAAAAAAAAAGATAGATAAAACTGCCTGGCAAAAGATAGTCTTTTTTGTCTAAAGCAGTGCAATAGAACCCAAAAGGAGACAGAGTCACAGCCAGAGGAGTGCAGCTCTGGTTCTGTGCTTAGGAAATGACAGTGTTAATTGTTTTGGATTTTGTTACTGCTGCTGATCTTTAGAGTGAAAGACAGGGATGGCATGCAGCACAACACAGACACCACAGACACAAAGGTGTCAGGAACACTCCTGGCCATGTGTTGCTTTGCCAGTTGCTGAGGCAGGGTGATTCCAGTACCATCAGGAAGAAGTAGGCACTGCTCTCCTTCTTTCCTCTGAGCTGTTTTGTTTCTATTTCAGATGCTACTTCTATGATTCTTAGTTCAGGCAGTAGTTGCCTACAGTGGGTTTTACCTTATCTGTCTTTTCCTAAACTGGCAAACTCTATCCCTGATGGATAAGAAGGGTTGTTATCTGCCATGCAGCAATTAAATGTGCACCAGGTCTGCAGCTAGGAAGCCAGCGGGGTCTGCATGACACCATTGCCATAGCTGGCATTTTATCCTGAAAATAAAAGGAGAGTCAGAACTCTGAAAATGGTCATAACTTGATCTATGATGACCTCAAGGTGAGGGAGCATCTCAACACCTCTTTGCTGAGTCCCATCTCCTTTCCCCAGTGCACTGCCATTCTTCTACAGAGCTTCTCTATCTCTACAAAATAGAATTTTCCAACAGTTGTGTTTTCTTAACCAAACTGAGCGTGAGAAAGATAAAATGGATTTTGGATATGGTTTCAATAAGCTTTTTGGTAATTAGTTTATGACTCAGCACTGCAATATTCTCCCTTCTGGAAAGACCCAGACCTTGCACTCGCAGTCTGGTCTGTGGTTTGAAGTTAGACCAAAAAAAAAGAACATTTGTCAGCATCCTGAACTGGGCCATGAGAAAACTGGTGGGGTCAAAGAGTAATTACCATCTGACATCAGGTTATCATAACCTCTGCAGGTTCAGCAGCAGGAGGAAAGCAGGAAACTTTTGGGATGGTGAGCAGGGGCTGGGTGTGAGTGACGGCACTGGGTTGCCTTCTGGGGTCAGGTGAGACCTTGCATGGATCCTGCAGAGTGCGAGGGCATCTGACCTGTTGTGTTGGTCACCTCTGAAATTGCTTACCTGGTAATCCACCTGCTTCCAACTGGTTGCAGCAGCAATAGCGCTTCCTTAGGGAAATTATTTAAGAAGGGGTTTCCTTGGCATACCTTTCCAGCTCCGGCAATCAGAGCTGTAATGTCTTTGGAGAGAGAAGATTGTCTCTGAGGATCTGCAGGATCCTTTTTTAGGATAGCTGTGATGATAGAAATTATTTCAAGGGACTAAAATATTTGTTTTGTAGCGGTGATATGGCAGAAAATCAAGGGCAGCAGCTGTCCCTTGACCCCTCCAAAACCAACTTAAACAGCAGCAATGAATGCACAACCATCCAAGCTAAACACACGTGCTGTAATCAACCTCACATCAGCTTTTCCTCCACTCCCCACAGGCAGACACACTGGCGGAGGCTGGGACGCAGATCCTCACTTTCCATCACGAGGGCTTCTTCTGGCGGTGCTGGTTCTTCGGCGAGGGCCAGTCCACAACCATCTGGACCTTCTGGTACAGTGAGTACCCAGCCATGCCGTGCCTCTTGGTGCTGCTGCCAGCCTTGATGCCTCTGCACTGTGTTTTGTTCCACTTTTTTTTTTTTTCATTCTCATCATATGTCCAAAAGCAGCTAGCTAACTTGGGGCACTCTTCATGGGTTCTTTTTTTGGACTTGTATTTTGCTCTTATTGGGCACCATCACACAGGAACACCATGTTGCCAATTAAAATATAATCCATGAAGATTATATCCATCCAACCATGAGCAACTCCAAGTGCTCCCCTTTTGGTTGAGCATTCCCCCTCCCACTATTTTCAAGCCAGAAGAAGTCAGGGAGCACCCGGGAGAGGGCAGGGGTAGCCCATACAGAACCAGAACCAAGTGGGTCTGTGCTCCTGGGCACACGAGACCTTTGCTTTCAGATCTTGCCTGTTTTGCTTTTTAAGGTCATAGAAGTCACAAGTGTGAGGATTTCACTGCAAAGAAGCAGAGTGATGCAAAATCATTATTTTCTGAAAGCATGTTCATGTTTAAGAAAAAATCGAAGAAGGTGAAATATATTCAGAGGCAAAAAAATATATATATATATATATTAAGGTCTGCCAAGGTTTTCAACATTACAAAGGCCCTGACCCTCTGCTCGCTCTGCTCAGAGATGCTTACAGGCTCATGGAGCAGCAGGATAACCTTACCGAGGGATCTGGCTGAAAACAATGCAGGTTCCCATAATCTGTTTATTCCCCAGTGGTTAAAATTTCAGATGGTTTTGCTGTCCCTCAGACCCTGACCTCTGTTTTCTGTAGAACTGTTACTGGCACTGTTCAGTAGAACAGGGCAGAGTTTTTCACATGGAATTTATTTGATGAAAAAGGCTGGAGAGAGGGAGCTTGCTATCTAACATTACACAGGAATACATTATACAATACAATGTTACCTGAAGTAAAATGACTCTTTCTGATAGCTGGCAAATTTTTATTACTTCTTTAGGTATTTATTATAATAGGATTGATCATGGCAAATTAATTTGCTGCTCTCATGGATGTAATAATTAATTCAATAGGTATTCCATAGTCAATTTAGCATGAACTAATGTCCACCTATTATAAAGTGTTCCTTTGAGCTGGGGAACATATTTAAATAAGTGTCCAATCATTAATTAATTCATTTAACATTCATTCTATTACTGTTAATCACGATAAGTCTCAGTGGTATTAATATTGATGGGGCACGTCCATTCTAATTGTGCTTTCCTTTCTCACCAACCGAAGAAAGGAAAGGTACCCTGGCTCTGGTACCCAAACCCCTTCTCCCCTTGCAGGTGGTTTCTGGAGCAAAATAGCAATGGGAATATTGATGTCAGTTTGCCATCTGAACAGCATAATTATGGTTTTGCACAAAATTAAAGCAAATCTTTCGTTGTTCTTTTGCAGCCAGCCAAGCGCACCCCAAGCACTGCATGCACGGCTACCTGTTCCCCATGCCCATCGTCCTGGGGCCTTTCCCACATCCCTCCTATGACACGACTGCAGGTGGGTCACTTCCCAGCTCCATATTCAAGCCGTGGGGCTGGGAAGCATGTTGTGTGCTATGTGTGTCCTATTGCAAATCCTCATGGCCAAGCATGACCAGGGAAGCTCCTTGCAAAGTGGCCTCAAGTGGCTTTCTGGGAGAGTGCCAGCATTGATTTGTTGCGAGACAAAATAAACAAACACTGGAAAATCAGTTAAAGACCAAATTGTCAGAAGATCCATCGCACTTATTTTTAATACCTCGAATACGACACAGTTGGAAAGCTCTCCTTTCAACTGGTTCCCTTTTTATTTATGTTTCTCTGTATTTTCAGAGCTCTTTAATGAATCAGCTGCTGCTAGGAATTTTAATTTGCTAAATTGGTAGCAGCAGCTAGAATTAATTCCATGATCTTTTTGGAAATGAATTGATTTCTTTAAATAGTGTGCATCACTCTGCGTTGCCTCTGGGGATCCGGGGCAGGCATACTGCACAAACAAACATCTTGACCTTTTCCTTAGCCTTTAGCAGTACCTTTTTTTTTATTATTTTTTATACTTTTTTTTTTACGAGAAATTAATTAAAAAAATATATTTGTCAGTTGGAGCATGTGAGGGAGAGCATCTTGCTCCTTTTGCTGTGTCGGATCCCTGCCTCAGGGAGCAAGCTGAAACGTGAAATAGATGGCAGAAAGAGAAGCCCATTGTGGGCTGTATATGGCAACATGGGCAAATGTTGGCTTATTTTTCTGCTTAGGAGGGAGTGGTACAACTCCAGTTTTTGAATGATCTCAATGGTAAACACAGGGATTTTTCTGTGCTAAATAAAGGGCCCTTCAGCCATCTGTCGCTGCCCATCAGCCTGTGCTATGCAGCCTCTGCAGCTGCCTCCAAAATGCCTTTTGGGGACAGCCCCGGTGCTGAGGCTGCTGCGGTCCTGCTGCTGAACTGGTCTTGATGAGCTCATCCCTGGGGAGATGGGGACACGTTGGCACAAGATGAGGACGTGATAGCATGGACATGGGGACATGTCGGTATGGAGATGGGGATATCTCAGCACCTTCATTCAGGGAATTGGGATTGCACCAACTGCACTGCAAAGCGTTGGGCAATCTGCATGGAGCAGGCTTTTCTGCCATACACTTTTATTTTGTTCCCAGCCAGTCCATACTTAGATGCAAATTATGACAAAACAGGAGGCCATCCAAGAAGTGGGTCCTCCAGCTATTACCTGCGCCAGAGATAATTCTGCCTTATCTGCATCCTCTTAGGCTCCCTGAGAGAAATGGGTGACGGGAGGTTAAACATTAAAATGAATTCTGTGGTTTTGGAGAGTTCAAGATACTTATCTCTCCCTAAGTGGCTCTCCTGACAAAATGGCTTAAAATGAGCAAAACGCATCTTCTCTGTATCATTTTTCTTTCAAGTGTGAGTCATTTCAGCATTGCTGTTTGCTCATGCTCAGCTCAAATCTCTCTAACTCGTGCTTCTGAGCAACAAAAGGCAATGGGAGCAGTGGGAGGTGGTGGTCTGAGCAGACCAGATAAACTGGGGGAAATGGGAGAAGGTTTGGAGAGTTTGTACCTGAAGACCCCTCACTGGGGGGCTGTCCTCCCTTCTCACATACTCTGTGGTGTGGTTTCCTTGCAAACACTTTCAGCCCCATGTTCTCATTCCAATCTCAGTGTTAAGTCATGACACACAGCCCAAACTTGCATTCTGCACCCAGACAACAACATACTGGCTACAGCTCTGCTCAACACCAGCAGCAGCTCCCTGCTGGAGAAACTGCTCACGACCTTAGTGCTCACCATCATTTTGTTGCCCAAGCTGGCACTAATGCAGGACTTCCACACAGCCTTCTATAAGCCCACCTGAGCTTCCCTTCCTTTTCCTCCAACTCTCTTCTTTTTGGCTTTCATGCAGTGTACAGAGGCTTCTGGACGGCGTTCATCATACTGGCCGTGGCTGCTGGCCTGGTGGGAGGACTGCTGCTGGTGTGTGGTGTGCCCTTCGTCAGCGCCAGGTCCCACAAAGTGGGCGGAGGGTTCCTGATAGCCTCAGGTAAGCCAACAGTGGTAATCAGACACACAGGACAGAAAGGAGTGTGCACAGCCTACTGCATGCAAGGGAATGGGGTGGCACCCAATGATGGGGAGGCACACAGTGATGGGTGGCAAACAGTGATGCAGTGGTCTCCAGGGATGCTGGGGAGGGATTGGTTTTCTGATGGGAGCAGTGGTGAATTGGAATAAATGTTCCCCTTCCCCAGGTGGAAATAAACTTCTACGCTGAGCCAAGCTTTAGTTCTTAGTCCTACAGAGCCTGGGAATTGGGAAACATACTGTTTTTCTTCTACAGCCTCATACGACATCCAGAGCCTTTTTATTTTAGTAATGTCTGTAGTTGCATTTATCCCAGGCAGTGATCAGCCACACTCTTTTCTGCCAGCATGCCTTCATATTTGAGCCTCTTCTGTCCTTGCTCTGCTAGAACCTGGAGAACCACCATGCAGTGAAAGGCATACCCAGCAATTCAAAACTGGAGGGCTGGTTTATAATAAAATCTGTAAAGATAAAGCAGTGTCACAGCAGGAAAATGAATTAAAAATAGGCATTGATTTATAATCCCCACTACCATTACAAATTAGTCCACTGAATTATCACTTGGGCCTTTTCTGTATTTGAGAGGAAATAACTAGAGAAGTACTTGATTTATAACTGTGACTCAAACTTGGAAAAGAAGCTTTTTTTTTTTTTTTTCCCTCCCGCCCCCCCCACAATGCAAGCAGTTAAAGGTTGGAGCTCTGAGGAGTCCTGCCAAGTGAATAACTTTGTAATGAACTCAAGCCTTCCTCTGAAATTAATTTTGCTTAATTATGGACCCTGCACCAGATTCTGATTCCTCAAGCACCGAATGAATCAAACACAAGCTAGCATCTTTTCTCCCATTTGGGGCTTTTTGTAAGCTTAAGCTTTTTGGACTCAAAAACATTCATGAAAATGACTTAACAAGAGAAGTCCCAAAACGAAGTCTGGAAGAACTCCACCCACATTCCCCTTATTATCCCTTTATTATCTTCTACTTTTTTTCCCTCCTGTTATTTAGCTTCCTTTCTGTTTCACAGGCTCTTTCCCAGTTTCCATCTTCTCCAGATGTACTAATAATTAACCACGTGATTCCACCTGAGATGGTTGTTAACACGAAGCTAGATCACATCTATCTATTTGACTAAAAAATCTGGGAGGCACTAAATCAATGTGGCCCTACCTGCCTCTGCTAATTTGCTTTGCATTTTGTCCAATTTTCCATTTGCCTCTGGGTCTTCAGTTATTGAAGCAAGCCCAGCAAGCCTGTGGGTATCCACTTATCTCTCTCTTATACAGTTTAATAAATGCTCAGTTGGGTTTAATTTTTTTTTCTAAAGGTAAATTTTATGTGGTTGTACATGTAGAAATTTCATTTGGGAATGCAAGATATCTTGCTCTCAGACCTTTGTTAGGTGCCAGTGCCTTCTGGTGATCAGTGCTGGCAATCTGACGTGTGCATGAGCTGAAGTGACTGAGATGGGGCTCGAGTACCCAAATCCTCCCAAGTTATGTTTTTGATCTCAGTGAAAGCCAGAAGAATGCAATATCTTGTCAGGAGAGTTTGCTTAGGGTTTCAGCTGATTATTGTAATTTTTTTTTTCTTTTTTGTTACTGAACTCAAGCTTATCAATCCTGCTTGAAAATAATGTCCAAATGGGTGTAGGATGCACCCCTCATTATTTCCTCATCACCCCTTCTAAAAACTGTCAGGTGACAATACACTTATCTGGCATCACAGTGACATTGGGCAAATGCTGCATTGCATCTGTATTGAAATTCCTGGGTTGCAGTCCCTTGTGCTCTTTGGTTTCCTTTGGGTGTTTTAGCAGCTATGCTTACAAGTGAGAATAGGCTTCACCAGCCCTGGGGCAGCTCAGCTGCTGGAGGGAGGAACTGTCCTGCTGTGTCCTGGGTGATGCTAAGGAACACAAACAGGAGCTCATTACCATCCCCCCTGGAAAGGCAGAAATACCAGTAAATATGCAATCCATGCTTTTTCCAGCCACTGTGACCCCCATGCTGGTTCTCCAGCACACCTGGCCCCAAATCATTTCAGCAAGTCTCAGGCTTTCTGTGAGCAGCAGAAACTGATGGATGGGGAAAGGCAGCTGAAGATCACTTCTCCATTCCCTTATTATGAACATCCCAAAGAGGCAAACGAGTTGCTGATTGTCAAAGTTCTCACAATTAGGAGATTACGTGCAAGTTCAGGAGCTTCCACAGAATAAGAGTTAAAGACTGAGCTCACTCACCTGTCCCTACACTTAAGGACTATAAAGGTATCACAAGGATAAGAAATGAGAGAAAGCAGAAGGCAGACTTCCATTCACCCACCAGTAGGATGCAGCCCTCCCAGGCTCAGGTGGCTTGTAATTAGCCCTGGATGGAGGAGAAAGATTGGATGCCCCACTCCAGTCTGCCTGCAATTTACCCCTTCCTGCAAGGTGCTACTGACCTTGTCAGCCTGGAGACTGAGTTTTGCAGTTAATTTTTTCTGTACCTGCCTAAGGAATGGAGTCAAAGAGGCACACTGGGTTTGCTGCTTGACAGAGTGGTACTGAAAAAAAAAGGCTTCTTTCAGTTTGCTGACCAAGACTCCAAGAAAGCACTTCCTGCATTTAGGAAGCTATTTGGGGCAAGTGTGAAACGAAGATGTCTTTCTGCTACAGCTGCTACAAGAAGCATCCAAAGGTGGTGGCTTTTGGTTTCCTTTTTTCACTGTGGAGACTGTACAAATCCCAGGGACTCCTTGTAACTCCAGAGTGATTATTGTAGGAAAGAAATCACTCTGCGTTTTCTTGTCTTAATGAATTTTGGTGCCAAGTCTGTGGCTGTGCCATCACCTCCACCACCTGTTTAATGACAAAGCAGTGACATTCTTTGAAGATTCCTCAGGAGCTGCACAGGAGCAGGTAGGCTTTGGTCTGCTTTCCCTAGAAAATGAGCCCCAAACAATCTGGTTTGCCTAGGGATAAAACAGCAAGAACAACAACAAAATGTTACTTAAAGAAAAACAGAAAATTCTAGAAAAAAAGAACCACTACCATGCCCGTGTCCTCTGTCCCTCTGGGACTACTTTTTTTTTTTTTTTTTGTCTCTTACGGTAGGTATTATAAGTTAATGAAATATAAATTGATCTTTAAAAGAGCACTTTTCAAGGTTCAGTTGCTATCTAATTAATTTAATTTTAAATTACATCAGTAATAAAGGCTTAATTGCCTTCTTATCAATATATTGTATTTTGTAAAGAACATGTGACTATTTAAGCATTCAATCATTTTCTTAAAGTAGAATAATTGGTATTTTAAACATACAACTATCATATTAAGTGTAAAATATTTATTTGTGCACGTAATTTCAAGTGGTATCACAATCTCAATGAACATGCAAATGTTACACCAGCTGCTGTTTAACTCCTAGCCTGCCTCTGCAGTGCCCATGAGGACTTGTCTGTGGGAGGGAGAACGGTCTGAGATAGCAGAGTGTGGTGATGAGAAGTGTGTTGATACGGTTACACAAATTTTTAAGATTAAATTCCCAGTCCTACGGCATAGGAGGCACTTTAATAAATACGACAGCTTAGGATGAGTAGCTTCAACTTCTATACAACCCCTAGTGAGGATTGAGGAATGTTTTGGACCCTCATTCTAGGCTACAAGATGTGAAGCAGGGTGTTATAGCAACTATATGTGCTTGTATCACTATGAGCAGAAACACAGCCCAACACTGCTGTGTGTCCTCTGAGCAAAGTTTCACTAAGCTCCATTGCTAAGCAGATAGATCAGTGTCAAGCCATACCCACAGCCTTTGCCTAGCATGAAGGCTGGATTTTGTAGTGCATAATATGCTGGGGGGAATAATTAAATATAGTACAAGCTACCTTTAGTTTAAAAATTGCAAGAGGAGGAATGAAGTCCTGCAGAAGCCAGAACACATCCACAGAACTGTGCAATGACTTGTCAACTGCATTAACTTCAAACTGTTCACTTCTATTATGAAAATACCATCATCTGTGATGCATTTCTTCCATATATGTATGCACATGTGCTTCTGTCGATATGTTATAGGGCACTGTTTAAAAATGGCAAGCTTCTAGCTGCAATGTGGTGAGACAAGATATTACTGATATAGGTTCAGATCTGTCATCATGCCATCACCATTTAGTGTTAATATATGTTGACTTTTAAATGCATTATATATATATATTTTTTTTAATGCAGTGAAGCAAGTAACATTGGGACCACACTGTTTTTCTGTTGTCTGCTTCATGCAGATCCTCATCACTGTGAGTTATGGGGTGTTGCAATCAGAATAGCAAAATGAGGTTCCTGCTTTCCATGTGCTTTTCAGACATGAGAGGGATAACCTACAAGGCCTCTATGGGGATATGTACAGAAATAAAAGGCACTGGGTCTGATGGGAGAGCTGCTGAGGGAGATGTTGACCTTGAGCCCTGGGGTGCCTTCAGCCCTTCACCTCCTGGTTTGTGGAGGGTCTCACATGCTAACGCTGGGTCATAAAAAGACTCCACGGCCTCTGGAATGAGCTGCTTGACTTTGCTATTGAGTTACTCACCTGAGGCTGATGTATCGTGGCCATCAGGACATGAAGGGGCACTTCTGTGAGCTGGGGCAACCAGCCAAAATCTGTGGGGCTTTGCTTGCAGTAGGTTCAGCAACAGGTAGGGCTTGCCACCAGTAGGACCAGTCCACAGGTCTTGGTATTTCTGCTGGAAATAGGATCTGATACTTGGAAGAGCATCTCTTTCCTCTCTTTTCCTGCCTCCTTTGTCAGGGAGAACCTGACAAATGTCACCATTCTACAACACTAGCCCGAAAAAATAAGTGGGAACCTGTTGCAATTTTTTCTCACTTCTAACCTTCTTGTATTTCATACACTGGCTGTAACTGGAGAATAACCACCTCTGTCTCTCTTCTCAGGAAGTTTATTTCTCCTGCTCATTTTCCTCTTCGTGCTGTGGAAGGAGTTTGTGGCCGATTTCCAAAAGTACATCCTCCTGGAGAGGAGCGAGGTGTGCCTGCAGGAGGCTCCTGTACACGTGTTCTATGGCTGGTCCTTCTTCCTTGCTGCCGCCGGCGTGCCCCTGTCGCTGCTCTCTGGGCTCCTCTTCTTCCTGATTGGCAGAGAAATGGCAGAGTCACTTGAGTAAGAAAAGGTGCTGAGGAACTCTTGGAGAAGATTATTGATGCTCCTTGTAATGAAACATACACAAGTTTTGAAGATTATGTCATTTTTGTAGCTGTAACTATTGGCGTAGGTGCATGATTGAAGTCAGTGTTATGTGGAGGCAGGGGTGGAGGACTTAGCATGCAAACACTCTCAGTCCTGTAGGCATCTCTCTGGACTGTGCAGCAGTTTCAGGTGGAGGACCAGCCTTCGCTGTGGCCGGCAGCCACCACGGCTCGCCGCTGCCAGCGCGGCCCCGTCCGTGTTCAGCAGCACTGGAGGTTCCCAGCATTCCCAGCATCCTCGTTTCCTCTAAGAGGTAATCAAATGTGGCTGTGGGGGTGTATGCTCTGACATCTTTTTCTGAGAAGCAATTAAGAATGATTTTTTTTTTTAGCTAGCTCTAATTGACGTCAAAGGACAACCATTTTAATGGAATGTCTGGAAACATGAGAGTTCTTTTCATTAAAAGCCCTGATTCTGAAGATACGAATGTACCTGTGCCTAACCTAACTCGTAATAATGACTAAACCAATTTCTGTGGTATGCAACATGAGATGTATTAATTAGTATTTCTTTAAAGCACTGTGCTACAATGCACTTAAGATTTTTCCTGAACAGAGAGTTGTGGAAATTTGCAATCCAAAACTGAAAATTGGAGCTGGGGGAAAGAAAACGGGAACAATGATGCTATGATTTTTTTTGTTTGTTTTTGTGGTAGAGTGTGTCAGCCAGCTCAGCATGGGACCCTGTTATATTCCACCTAGCATAAGAGCCAGCTCTGAAAAGACTTATTATATACAATTTATATATTTTTTAATTCTTGCAATTGCTCAAGTGTACATTGTCTGACAGGTTAAAGTGCTCCCACTAAGAGTAATGCATACTAATGCTATACAAAATGATTTAAATTCAGAAGGTGATGTCATTTATCCTGTGTACGTGAAGGTTTGTAGACACTTGAGAAATGACAAAGAGTTGATCTTGTGTTTTTCAGTCAAGATCTTGCTACTTTGAAGTAGTTTGTTGGGCCCTTGCTTGCTGAATTCATCTGCATAAATTTTAAATTAAACTTACTAAAAATACATGCTTTTCTCATGGATGTCAAAGTTTATGGTAAACATATATTTCCAAAGCTTTATGTCGTACTACTGACTCAGTATATTTAATTAATAATGTAATGTAAACCTCTTCTAGAAAGCAGCGAAGACTCTTGGCAGTATAAAAATGTTTGTTAATGCTCTTCCTAAAATATTATTCAAGTCTGGCATTTCTTTCCTTTTGGAGCAAGTTCTAATTACTCTTTTACAACACTCATGGCATACATAGAGTGAGAAATCGTAATTCCCACATGTAAAGATCAGTTCTTTCATATGAATAGCAGGCTTGTTCTATGGTTCTTAAGTAAAACTCACACTAATTTCTATTAAGGGGAATTTTGTTTGACTAGAATTGTTGTGTACAGGTGAAAATCAAGTAGATGTTTCATGGCACTACAAACACATTGATATTTCAGTGTTTCAGCTGGCATTTTTAAACTGCTTTTTTTTTAATTTCTCTCTCTTTGGGTTATGCCTGTGCCCCATCAGTTCTTCAAGTGATCATTTCTCACTATAAATTCTCTTTGAATAATTTTTGTCATGTAATTATCTATTCAGTGTAGAGATGAACACTTACGGTCACAAAGAATAAAAGTATATAATCCAGGAGCAGAAGAGGTCAAGATTTACAGTCACTTGCCTTTCACTGATCCCATAAAACAATCCAAGCATGCAGAAATGATGATCCCGTAAGAGACACCAGGGCAGAAGTATGAGAATGCAGCAAGAAATCCATCAGACTTATTGATATCTGTGAAGCTGAGGATCCCTGAAGTTGTGAATACAGAAGTGAGTTTTATATTACAGAATGAAATATTTATTAACTTTCTCCATCTGTTCTTTAAAAAATTTAGTTTAATGTCATCAAGGCATTTATGGAATACATTTAGCTTAATCATGTATTCATGCCTTAGGGAGTAAACCATCCCTGGAGACTTGCTCCTTCTGGATCAGCTCTAGAACAAGCAATAGTTTAAAACTCAATCATTCTTTTCAAAATCATGACTTTGAATCATTCTTGAATGGAGGGTGTTTTTTTTTTTTTTTTTTTTTTGCATAAACTCTAATATTGAGCAGATTCTAATAATCACAGCAATAAGGATATAGCAAATGATACTATAGACTGGCACAATTAAATTAACTAGCACCTATAATAAAATGCAACATCTGTAGTCAGCACAAGATTGAACAGATCATGTCGGTGGATTAAAAAGTCTTTCGGCCTCATGTTTTTCCTGTGGCAAGTATGCCTTATACAGACAAAATTTTGTGTGAGAATCATTATTTCTGGAGGAGAAGCATAAAAAAAATAAGTTGATGGACTCAGCAGTAGGGTTTGAAATTGTGGAAACCACGGCCTCTTTCATCTGTTGCATGTAAAGAAGTCTGATGAAAGGATATTATAGAGTACTGACAAGGACCTAATTCTGATCCAAGTTTTGTCATTATAAATCATGAGTAATTCCAGAGACTGCAGAAGACTCTTATCACTGTTAAACATCTGTAAGTCAGATCAGTACTGAGACTAATAAATACATTCAAAAATGCATAATTAAAACAGTGATTTCACATCACTGATGAATTTTAGTCAAGGATTTCTTCAAGGATGCTTTTCTCACATTAGCATTTGACGTTAGTAAGCAATGAATTATTCCATTTTTTCTTCTCAACATCTGGGACACTTCCTGCTTTATTTGCTACTTGCTGAGCACTCTGCAGGAAATATTAATGAATCCTGGGTGTTAAAGTATAGGCCTTGTGGATCACGCACACAGGCAGTGTTACACAGTAGACTCTATGTGCCTTGAAATTAAGAGACTTGATTTTGGTGAAGTAAGATAATGGGAGATTTGTCAAATAGGTGGGAGACATGGGGAGTTGGGATCACCCAAAGATGAATTCTCTGCAGCTCCCTCATTCAAATTGTTCCTCTGCATCACTTTCTCCCAGGAGAGGCAAAAAAAATAGTGATAACAGGTTTTTCCTTGGCCGGATCCACACTTTTACTGGTGACTGAGAAAACTAGCATCCAGGAATTCCTTAAGTAAGGTGCTAGGTGAGGGGCAACAGCCTCAAGAAGAGATGGACCAGATCGCCCCAGCATGACAATAGCACTGCTGTGCCCTGCAGCTTGCTGGCACCACTGGCAGACTGGGATTGTTTCATCTTTCTTGACAAATGCAGTGATAAAACTCCACATTCAGAGAGGTCTGCAGCTCTTTGGAGCAACCTGCAAAGATCTGGTTTGAGCAGCAGAGGCAGGAAATCTTCCTTTGATGTTCCACATCTGGCCACGAAGGTGAGAGTAGTGTTTCTACTTCAGAAAACAGGTGTTGTCTTCCTTGTGCAAACAGGTAGGAACAGAGAGTCTCCATTCTGAGAGTGAGGGTGTGAGCCCAACTATGAGCTGGGGCCCATCACAGACAATGCCAAGGTGCATCCTTCCTTTCCCTCCTGCCTTGCCCAACTGCCACGGCTGGGGTTGGTGGACTCAGCAGGGGACATGATGCAGGATGAGACCAATGGGACACACTGACACTCAAGCATAAGGCTGAGGATAGGCCTTCATTGTGCTTGTGACATGCCTGTAAGCACTAGCTCATGTCTGGAGATGGTTTTTCTCTTAGGTAACGATGGAGATTGAGGATATTAACTATAAAATAACCAAAATGCCACTTAGGTGTATAATTTCACTCTGGAATGGCTTACTTTCACCAACAGGACTTACAAAACATTCTGCTTGTTCTGTGTGTCCAGAAGAATCCAACAGGGAGTGCTTTCACCTTGGTTATGCACTCTTCCAACACTTTGATGGATGCATGTACAAAAATGTCTGCAGAGAGAATGTCTCTTACACTCTGCTCCTTGTGTCAACTGGGCATCACCAGTATCAGGGTCCCAGCCTTGCAGCCAGCCCATGGCACACAAGGGAAGAATGAGATGCTCAGGCTTTACCTCCCTCTGGACAGGGATGTAACAGGAGGAAGTTCCCACAGACTCTGCCCTGTCAGCTCCTGCTTGGCAGCACAGCTCTTATCATGCTGAGTCAGCGTGTTTGGAGGCACCTCAGCACTCTCACCGAGTGCTGCCTGGGAATGAGAGGGCACAGATGTGGTGTGGCAAATGAAGGCAGGAACAAAATTAAAATAAACAAGAAAATATAAGCTAGCTCCATGCTTGGTGCGCAGGGCTGTACATTACCACAGGATTAAGTTGTATCAGCCGGAGTACATTCTACACGAGTGCACAGCACCTCAATCCTATAATCAATAAGCTGTACATGCTGCAGCACAAAGAGCTCTTATCTGGAATACCACTTTGAATTTAGTGAATTTATTTAATCCCTGATGCCTGCAGAGCATCAGTCCTCTCTTCTGGGTTAATTTATTTATTCCGGTGATCTATTTTTAGTCTTTCAAGTACTTGACATTTGAGAAGTACATTTTTTTTCCCCCTACTTCCTTAAAAAAACATCTGAATTGAAAAAAATACTTCACCTACAGAAATGCATTTTGTTTCCTCGTTCACTTCACCACTCTTTCTCTTGGGACACAGAGCCCCGTCACCATGCACTGAAAGGATCAGGGAAGGCTCCTTGCCACCCTGCTTGGCTGAGCCTTTCTCCACTTCAAAGCTGAGTATTCACAGGATCTTCTCTCTTTCTTCTCATCTCTTTCCCATGAATACTCTCTCCACCTCTTCAAAACAATTATCTATTTTTAAGGTGTATCCAAGGTGCTGCATTTAGCTCCAGAGTTGTAATGAGTGCATGTGATGCTCTCATCTTCTAGAACTTGGCATTTCTTAGTCGCACAATCTCTTTCCTGAATCCAAAAGATGCTATGAGGGTACAACACTGATTGTTATCAGAGCTGTAAAGGATGAACTCTAATTAACCCAAATGGTAGATACAGAACATTTGGTTATGGAAGACTGGACTGAAATTTGCTAAGTGTTAGGGTCTACAAAAAAGAAAAAATATTCTTGCCTGACCTTCACTGAGTAGATTAATGATGGCTTCATAAAAGCAAGAAAATAAATAAGTAAATAAAAAAGCAAGCGACGAATGCTGAGAAGAAAAACAGTCTGGGGGAGGAGTCATTCACCAGAGAACACAGCACTGTTGCTCTGATGGCACGCAATGAGCTGCTTGAGGAGCTGGAGCCGAAACCTTGTCCTTTACAGGCTGGAATGATCGTGGTGTGTGGTGAATAAATGGTGTTGATTCTGAAATGGAGGCATCAATTTTGAATCTCTCCTTGCAAAAAAAAAAAAAAAAAAAAAGTAGGGAAATGTGTTAATTTAGACAAATCAACCACTGAATTAGCCCCAGTGATTGCTGAGGTGGGTCCTTCTCTCACATACAACGATATATCAGATCATCTCTCA